GTGCCTTCGTTGCATGCAGCTGACCTGGGTTTGATTCCTGGCACCCCACATGATACCCCAATCCCACCAGGAGTGATCTCTGAGCATGAACACAGAGCCAGGAATAATAATCCACACAGAGCTGGGTGTGGCACCAACCACCTCCATCACCAAGTGCCCTACATAGCAGCTTCATTGTAATAAAAGCAATGCAATTAAGAATGATTGTATGATGTTTATTTGTTGTGTTTTTGTCTTGGTTTTTGGGCCACACTTAGCATTGCTCAGGGATCACTTCTGCAGGCTTAGGGGACCATATAGGGTGCCAGGGCTCAAACCCATGTCAGCCATGTGCAAAGAAAGTATTTGCCTCCTGTAAAAATGTTTTATTTTAGGGCCACAGAGTGACCTTTTCCAGTTCTGTTCTTTGTGCCACATATGGGCCCTGGAAGCCTGTCAGGAGTGATCCCTGAGCACATGTTGGGTGTGACTCCATAGCAGTATGTCACTGTCACTGTCACTGTTATCCCATTGTTCATCCACTTGCTTGAGGAGGCACCAGTAATGTCTCCATTTGTCCCAGCCCTGAGATTTTAACAGCTTTTCCTTTCGTCTTTCCCAACTCTGCCATATTGGAGGCTCTTTCAGGGTCAGGGGAATGAGACCCGTTATTGTTATTGTTTTTGGCATATTAAATACGCCACAGGAGTGTGGGGGCGACTAAAACCTCATGGGAAGGGGGGCGTTCCGGTCCGTCCTTCACGCCCTACCGAGGTCACCAGTTGCCCCCCACGAGCGGCTCTCCAGCACAGCCACGGCCCCAGAAGCACAAGGACTTAATGCAGAACCCAGCAGCTTGGAGCAGAAAAGTGAACGGACTATGCATTGATCCAGGCCATCAAGTCTGCCGGAGGGGAAAGGGTGTTGCCCCATTCGCCCTCTCCTCTCTGGAAAGAAAGATGGCGGCCACATGGGAGCCTTGTGGACAGCAGGTATGAGCCGGGGGAGTGGGGGCGACTAAAACCTCATGGGTCGGGGGGCGTTCCGGTCCGTCCATTACGCCCTACCGAGGTCACAAGTCGCCCCCCGCGAGCGGCTCTCCAGCACGGCCATGGCCCCAGAAGCACAAGGACTTAATGCAGAACCCAGCAGCTTGGAGCAGAAAAGTGAACGGACTATGCGTTGATCCAGCCCATCAAGTCTGCCGGAGGGGAAAGGGTGTTGCCCCATTCGCCCTCTCCTCTCTGGAAAGAAAGATGGTGGCCACATGGGAGCCTTGTGGACAGCAGGTATGAGCCGGGAGTGTGGGGGCGACTAAAACCTCATGGGAAGGGGGTGTTCCGGTTCGCCCTTCACGCCCTACCCAGGCCACCAGTTGCCCCCCACGAGCGGCTCTCCAGCACGGCCACGACTCCAGAACACAGAAACCAATTTCTTAACTATCTGACTTTCAGTAGAAATACTTCCAGGGTCAATAGGTAAAATAGCAGAAATCCAAAACCAACATTTAATTCTTGAACCCAGCTGTAGAAAGCAAATCACTTCACAATGCTTTTTCAGCATGTCTGATTGGGGGGGGGATAAACTCTAAATAATAGTGGTGAATCTTTTATTGAAACAATCTAATCAAAGCGGATAGAGTGTTAACTAGAATTCATCTGCCTCACAGGGACGGGGAGGGGTGGGGGGTGGGGTTTTATTGGGGTTCTTCATGGGAAAAAATAAGTATTGGTAAAGGGAAATGTGTTTGATATTTGCATGACTGAGACATAAACCTGAAAGCTTTGTAACCTTTCCCACAGTGATTCAATAAATAAATTAAAAAGAAAAAAAAATACGCCACAGGTAAGTTGCCAGGCTCTGCTGTGCAGGCAAGATACTCTTGGTAGCTTGCCGGGCTCTCCAAGAGGGGCGGAGGCTTTTGGGGCGACCTCTACTCTATTCTACTCTACTCTAATCTAACCTAATCTAATGATGTAGTAACTATGACCCCATAGCACTAATAAAAATATTTAACAAGTTCATCCAGGGCACCCTGGAGGGGAGATGGGTGAGTCCTACCACTCACCCCAACAGAACCCTGTTTTTCCAGTGGAAAACCTCCAGAATCCAATCGCCACCATGCTCACTGCTAATCTCCACAGGCTCGGGACAGGCCTTCCATGCATGAGAGTGAATCTGCTGAAAAACACAGGTGTGCAGTTCTGTGACTGAAATCTCTAAGCTCCCATGGAGTTGGGAATGGGCAAACTTCCCCCACTTCCCTGTTCTTCCAGGAGTCTGATGGTCATGCCCACAAACTGCCTCTGGATGCCATGTAAGCTCATTACTGGCCAGGATCCAGAGACTCACAAATAAATCTTGGAAGAGAGCAACAAGCTGCAGAGATGCCTCCTGACCCCAAAGTCACCGTCCAGTTAAAAGTTTAACTCCAGCTCTATCACCCTATTTAAAATTTTAGAATTCCGGGAGCGCACGGCCACATTCATGGCCATAAGACACCTCATACTCTATGTCACTGATATACCAAGAGTAGCACACACATTTGATGGGTTGTGAAGTAGAAGACAACCAATCTCGATAAAAAAAAATATATTAGCACACAAGACTCAACCTGCAACAACATGTAATCTATCATACAAGGGCTTAGCAGCTCCAAGGTGAGATACAACAATCTTCATACACTTTCTTCTAAGGAAACCTTTTGCATAAATTTTAGCAGATAACTCTTAGCAAGCAATACAAAATAAATTATATAAAATCTGCCATCGGGGAAGGCTTGAGTGGTGGTTGGAAAATTCAAAATAATGTAGTAGTAAGGTGTAATAGTGGTGGGTTTGGTATTAGAACGCACTGTAACACTATCCTCCCGTTGTTCATTGATTTTTGCTCGAGCGGGCCCTGTAACATCTCCATTGTGAGACTTGTTGTTATCGTGTTTGGCATATTAAATATGTCACGGGGAGCTTGCTAGGCTTTGCCTTGTGGGCAGGAGACTCTCGGTAGCTTGCCGGGCTCTCCGAGAGAGGCAGAGGAATCGAACCCGGCTACGCTGGGCTGGCTTCGCGCAAGGCAAACGCCCTACCGCTGTGCTATGTAATAAAAAAAAATTATTGTGAATAATTATAAGTCCATTATCAAATAGAAATAAATTAAAAAAAATTTAAATGGGATGGGAGGGAGATAGCACAGGGAGTGAGTTGCTTGCCTTGCATGCAACCTTGGTTTGATCCCTGGTAGTACATATGGTCCCCTGGGCACTGCCAGGAGTGATCTCTGAATGTAGACCCAGGAGTAAGCCCTGAGCATTATGGGGTTGGCCCCAAAACCAAAGAGAATTTTCAAGACAGTCAAGGTTACTGTTCTTTATCTCACACCTGGTAGATAGCAACACCTCTAGCTGCTTTGCGTAGGACCAATTGCTCTCAGCTGCCAGGTCCTCCTCTGAAGCATGTATTTGGTTTTCCCAATCTCCCTTTCAGCTCACTTCCTTGACTCTGTGTCCCTGGGATTTTATACAAACACCCACAGAAGCAAACGTCTTTCCTAATCCACTTCCCCAAGTGCTGTTCCTGCTCCAGGGTGACATCTCCATCATGTCCCAAATCCTCAGCAGCCAGGACTTTCCACATCTCCTCACCTTTGCCCTCCTCCTTCCTGTTTCCACTGCTCTGTCTTTGCTCTTGCTCGGTGGAGTTTGGAGTTTCGTATTTCAGTCAAGCTCTCAAATGTCCGCTCACACTGTGGAGCGTCCAGCCTACCATCCCTCTGTGAGCTCAGCACAGCCACCACAGAAGAAAACGAAGCAAAACAAAACTCATTTTATAAAATTCACCCTGCCAGTCAAATGTTTGTTGAGCATAGGCATCGGTTTCTTCCTCTCTGAATTTCTGTGCTTTGCTAAACAAATGAGCGGTAGCAGAACTGAGAAATTTTGTGTTTATGCTCTTCTTGTGTGTGTGTACAGGGTGAGGTATGGAACTCAAGGCCTCATGTGAAACAGGCACAGTTTGATCAATAAGCCACACCCCTGGTCAAGGTCCATATTTGCCTCAAGTTTGGTGGTTATAGCAACATAGCTTCCCAGAGCTCAACTCGGGAATAATAGTTTAGACAGGTTGGTTACGTTTTTCACTTGGGTTTCCCTTCTCTCATTTTTTTTTTTTTTGGTGGGGGTGCTACACCCAAGGGTGCTCAGGGTTCACTTTTGGTGGTGCGTGGGGGACGCCAAACGCGGACGGAACCCAGGTTGACCACTTGCAAGGCAAATACTCTCCCGGCTGTACTGTCTCACCGGCCTTGGGTTTCCGATTTTAAGTGGGGAAGTTTCCTGCGCAGTCAGACTGGATTGCAACTAGTCCTGCCCGGCTATGTGATACATAAAATAAGGTAAAGGTAAAGGTAAAGGCCCTCCCGTTGATCGTCGATTTGCTCGAGCGGGCCCAGTAACGTCTCCATTGGAGACTTTGTTGTTACTGTGTCTGGCATATCGAATACTCTCGGTAGCTTGCGGGCTCTCCGAGAGGGGCAGAGGAATCGAACTCGGGTCGGCCATGTTGGCCGCTTGTAAGGCGAACGCCCTACAACTGTGCTATCAAGAGATGGAAACATTGTTTCCGTGAAAAGAAGACACTGTTTCTCAACCACAACCGTTACACTGCAAGGATTCCAAAGCCTCAGGGGACTGTTATTCACGTGTGACCTTTCTGTCTTTTCTCGTCCCACACCACCACCGCTGTAACCGTCACTCTCCCATCGTGTCTGTGACTCCTTGGCACCCTTTGACATACACGTGGGTGGGAGAATCGTACACCTGCAGCTGCAGGGTTTTAGCGCTGCAGCCCAGGCGGAAAGCACCTAGAGAGGACGAACCGGGAGGAGGACGGCGGACGCCGCACACGCCAGGGCTTTGCACTTCGCAGCCCCCTGGAAGGGGGGCGGGCGGGGGCCGCGCGGAGGGCAGGGCCCGGGCCGATGACGTCAGCGCGGTGACGCCACACGCGCGCCCGCCCCCGCCCCGCGCCACTGCGCAGGCGCGCGGCCGGCGTGCAGCGTCTCGGAGCTGCGGGCTCGCGGGGCGCGGGGGTTGCGGCCTGCGCTGAGCTCCGGGCCGCCAGGGCACCGCGTCCGAGCCTCGCCTGCTGGGCAACCCGGCCATGGAGAAGCCGGTGCTGACGCCGCACGTGTACTGGGCGCAGCGCCACCGCGAGCTGTACCTGCGCGTGGAGCTGAGCGATGTGCAGGTATGGTCGGGCCCCCGGACCCGCACCCGGGACCCCGCGCCCGGCGCGCGTCTCCCGCAGGCCCCGGGGCCCGGGCGCCGTCGGGCCGTGGGCCGGGCTCGCCGTCCTGCCGCAGCGTGGCCGGCCCACGCGGGGCCGCCGTTGGACGCCAGGCGCCGGCCCGGGGGCTCCCGGGGGGGGGGCCCCGGGCCCCCCCTTCGGGGCCACACCCACCTCCCCGCTGGACCGGGCTGGAAACCCCGTAGTCCCGGGACACGGAGCGCTCATCCTGTCCCGCGGGGGACCCCCCCCCCCCTCAAGCCCCCGTGCCCTGCCCCAGCCTTCCCGGGAGAGGAGGCCGAGTCCGCTGTCTGGAATCGTACAGCAGCCCACCCCCCACCCCCCCCCACTCGGCCCCGGCCCGAGTCGGGGTTCGTGTTTGGCCCTGTCGCCCCGTGAGCATTTTAGATTCTCTTGCAAAGGGGCAGGTGCTCCCAGAATGTGGACTTGAGTTTATTGGGAGAATACTCTCGTCCTCGGGAAGAGAGACCTACGGTGAATCAAAAAGCGTTGAAAGATAGAAACGGAGAGAACCCGTCGTGAAGATCCGACACTGCCCTGGCCAGAGCCTTCGAGCAGGCCCGCGGTCCCCACCGTATCAGTCAGGGAGTTGAAGCTCAAGTGCACGTTCGTGTCCGGGAAGGAGCACGTGTGGGGCGTGCTCATCTCCCCAGGGACTTTTAATAAAAAAAAGGAAAAAGAATAAGAATCTTTGCAGGTGGGGATCAGAGTCTCAAGTTAGAGAGAGGGCACCCTTTTAATAAGAAAAGCATGGAATATGTGATAGGACAGTCTCCTTGAGCACTGTAAGCATTAAAATTAATTATACCCAGGCCCAGCCCTCTCCAGATGCCTCATGCGAAATAAAGATAGTAATCTTAAATAGTTTTTGGAAGTTTTTAACAGAAAAGGTGCTTTTTTTAGGGGGACTGGAGTGTTTGAGAAAAAATAGTTGCATAGGGGCTGGAGCGATAGCACAGCGGGTAGGGCTTTTGCCTTGCACGTGTCCAACGTGGGTTCGATTCCCAGCATCTCATATGGTCCCCTGAGCACTGCCAGGAGTAATTCCTGAGTGCCGAGCCAGGAGTAACCCCTGTGCATTGCTGGGTGTGACTCAAAAAGAAAAAAAAAAGCATAAATGGTAAAGATTTTCTTGCAAGATTTCTCAGATAAGGAATTTAAACACATGCTCTAATCATATTTGATTTAATACATTTGAGATATTTCAACTGAAATAAATCTAAGGATGGAGAAAAAAAATTTTTTTTGAGGGAGGGCCTTACTTGTGGTGCTCAGGACTTACTCCTGGCTCTGTGCTCAGGGATCATTTCTGGCCAGGCTCTGGGGACTATATGGGATTCCAGGCGTAGAACTGAAGTCAGCCGTGTGCACGCTAAATATCCTACCACCGGACTATTGTTCCAGCCCCCAAAATGCAATTTTCTTTTGGAGAGAGAATTTCATTTTTTTTAATGGGGAAAGTTTTTTTTAATTTAGATTCTTTGAAAAAATAATTTCCTATCTGTAATTCTGAGGCTTTCCTTCAATTTTAATTAAGAAGTAACATGTTAATTTGGCCTCAGAGATAGTATAGCCAGTAGGACGCTGGCCTGTGAGAAGGCCAACCTGCTTTCAATCCCTGACACCCCACATGATCTGCATCCTGTAGGAGTGATCTCTGAGCACAGAGCCCAGGAGTAAGCCCTGATCACTGCTGGATGTTGCCCCCAAACTAAAACCAATGCTCCCACCCAGTGAAAGTAACATGTTAATGTTATTGGTGAAAGTAATCTACCACCTGTGAGATTTACAAAGATGACTCAGTCTGGCCTTCTTAGGGCAAAGCGATCTTGGGTTATTTTGGGGAGCTTTTTGGGTCACACCTGGCAATGCTCAGTAATTACTGGGGGACCATATGGGTTGTTGGGAATTGAACCCAGGTCAGCCGTGTGCTAAGCAGATGCCCGACCCTCTGTACTATGCTCCGGCCCCTGGCAAAAGTATCTTGAAGACAGCTTATTGTTCTGTACCCACACACACTGTTTTGTGCGTGAGTTATTAGTAGAGTTGGAGATCAGTATTGAAGTAAAAGGAATTTGTTCTCCCTCTTTTGTTTAGAAATGACATTAAATATTCTGGGCAAACTTGAGGTTGGGAGAACTTTCCAGAACAAGATAGTCATTGAAGACTGTCATATTATCCAACTGGTGGTGCCCTCAGCCACAGCCAGACTCTGGGACCTACCTGTGGGGGAGCAGTTGGGTTTCACCCCTGCAGCAGGCCAGGCCCCTCCTACCTGCCGTGCCTGTCCCCTTAAGGTGTCAGAACCTGTGATAGGATTTGGGCCCTGGTGATTGGGGGAGAGTCCAGAAAGGGAGGTCTTTGTAGCTTAATTGTCATCCTCAGAAGTTGGGGGCAAGTCTGCCTTTGGGGAACTGAATAAATCTTATTGCCAGGAGAGGAGCGAGAGACCAGCACAAGAATGAACTTGGGGGACTGAGTGATAGTTCAGAGGGGAGGGTACTTGCCTTGCATGTGGCCAACCCGGTTTCATCCCTGTCATCCCATATGATCCCCTGAGCACCATCAGGACTAATTCCTGAGCGCAGAGCCAGAAGTAACTCCGTGAGCACAACTGGGTGTGACTCAGGCCCCGTCCCCCTCCAAAAAAAAGTGCAGTTCTGTACAGGGTGTGTGAATCACTGGGAAACCAGTGATTCTGGCTCAACATGCAGCACTTAATGTTCTTGTGCAATGAGAACTCTCTGGACCATCCACACCCGCCTGACATGAAGTTGAGTGCTATGTTGGTAGACAGCTCTCTACTGCCCCCCCTGCTGCTTATAGTATGTCTCACAGCTTCTTTGTCAATGTGAGTTTTTAATTAACACCCCCCCCCCCCCCCAACTTTACCCAGTGATGCGATGCAAGCTACCGAGAGTATCTTGCCCGCATGGCAAAGCCTTGCAGGCTGCCTGTGACTTATTTGCTATGCCAAACACAGTAACAACAAGTCTCACAATTGGAGACGTTACTGGGCTTGCTCGAGCAAATCGATAACAACAGAACAGTGCTACAGACAGTGCTAAGGGATCACTCCTGGCAGGGCTCCCGGGATCATATGGGAGGCCAGGGACCAAACCGGGGGTGCAAGGCAAGTGCCTTACCCGCTGTACTGTCGCTCTGGCCCCTTGTTTCATACTTTGTTGTTTACTTCAGTGAAGGAGGATGTAGAGTCTGGGGAGCCGTGGGCTGCCCCAGAGCATGTCAGAAAGAATTGGATGAGGGCAGGAGTGGTGAGGGTTTATTTCAGTGCTCTCAGATACTGAGGGACAGTTACGTGAATTGGTATTTTGTGGATGGCAGTTTCCTGTACTGAGAAAAATATTACAGATGCCTTTTTTTTTCTTCCACCTTTCAAGAGGATTTCCAAGTAACTTGAGTTGGAGTTGTATTTGAGATTTTATCTTCAATTAGGAGAACAGAGTGACCGTCCTGTGGGTGTTAGAACAGCTTGCCACAATTATGAGATCCAGCCAGTTCCAGCTGTTGCAGGCGGCTGATTTTCTTTCTCAGAAATTTTCTGCAAGGCTTACTCATGGCTGTGCACTTAGGGCTCTCTCCTAGCAGGGCTCAGGGATGAAACCCTGAGCAAAGCAAGTGCCTTCCCTGCCGTACTCTCTGGCCCCTGGATTTAAAATTTTGGGTATTTTGTCTTTAAATGGTGGTTCAAAGAGTACTGACTGCTTAAGCATTCCATCCAGAACTGGAGTGCATTGCCTCATCATTTGTTTGTGTTGTTAGCCAGAAAACAAAACAGTGTTCAGGGCTTACTCCTAGTTATGGGCTTGGGGATCACTCCTGGCGGGGCATGGGGGACTTTATGGGGTGCCAGGGATTGAGCCCAGGTCGTCTGTGTGCAAGGCCAGTGCCCTGCCCACTGCATGATGGCTGCAGCCCTTGTTGCCTCATCATTTGGATCTGGCCAGGCCGTGTGCCAGCTTAATGAATAGAGTGCTGCAGAGTGAGACAGTGGCCAGTGGCCAGTTCCAGGATTGCCTCTCTTGAGAGACCTGCCAGCTTCTGCTTTCTCTGTCTTGGGCCACTTGCCCTTGAAGCATTCCTGCCGGAAGCCCAGAACTCTGTAGTTGGCAGTGGGAGACTCAGCCCTGCGGAGAGGTAGAGTCATGTCCAGACTCAGCCCTGCGGAGAGGTAGAGTCATGTCCAGGTTCCAGGTGACAACCGGCCTGAGCTTGCGGCCACGTGAGCACCCATCTCAGATGTTTCGTTCCCGTATGATAGCGCAGCCAGGGTCATCTGGCGACAGGGACAGAAAATTTGTCCAGTTGAGGGCCAGTCCAAAAGTTGCATGTTTGTTTCACACATGTACATGCTTGGTCCCTGCCGGCTGGGAAGTCAACTCATTGAGGTGTGGAGTGTGCTCGGGAAGGAACTGGGGCCAGGGGACCAATGTGTGCAAAGTAAGTGCGTTTCTGCTGAGCCACTTTCCTGGGCCAGAATGTTTTAAACCACCAAGTTTTCTTTTTTTGTTTTTGAGCCGTACCTAGATCTCCAATTTTCTTTTTTTTTCAAACCTGGCAGTGCTTAGGGCTTTTACTCCTGGCTCTGAACTTAGGGATCACTCCTGGTGGGGCTTGGGATCATACGGGGTGCTGGAATGTAATCCTGCTTGCCACATGCAAGGCAAGGGCCCCCTACCTGTTGTACTGTTTTTCCCAAAACTACCAAGTTTTGAAGTAGTTTCTCACATTCTGATAACAGAAAGAGTTTTTGGATAAATGAAACTATTCATCAGACAGCTGTTGGAATACAGTATGCTTATTAGATGATACAGTTACTGTTCTTAGACACGAAAAAGCGGGGCTAATTATCTAGGAGAATGTTGTTATTCGTAGAAGAAGCCTGCTGAAATATTTTGGAGTGAAATGTCATTATGTCTGCAAGTCACTGAAATGAACCACAACAACAAAAAAATACATACAAAAAAAGGAGGTATGACTGAATATGATCAGTTGATGAAAGGTTTGTGAGTATTCATTTGGGCTCCCTCCCCCCCTCTCCCCCACACACATACACAGTGTTTCAATGGATTATTATTAACAATTTCAAAATAAAATGTTGGGGTGAGAAGAATCATGTTTTGACATTGTTTTGAGGGGGCACCTGTTACCCACCTACATGTCTGGTGATTCACCAGGATCTGGGGGGCTGGGCATGCAGCTGTACTCTCAGCTAGGCTTTTCCATGATGAAAGAATATATGACAAAAGCATGAAAAAATATTGAAGAAATCCAATGAGAAATCATTTTCAGGCCTTCTTCCCTCTCTCTGGCTAGGACAGCAACAAAAAAAAAATTGTCACTTAAGTGTAACATTCTGCCCGGGAGGCCCATTAGCGATCTAGCCTGCTGGGTTTACTGGGGTTGGTGCCTGAGTGTCTTCTGCCTTGTATGTGATTGCAGAGCCCTGGGGAGCCCTGCAGGTCGCTTGTTAATCGACAGCGCACACTTGTTACACACTTGTTAATCACAGGCACAGCACAGTCACTTAGGGAGGGAGGGAAGCCACACATGCTTCAGTCTGCTCACCAAGTTTGCAGAAGTTCCCTATGTCCACTACGTCTTAAAGCAAGTCTCTGCAAACCTTAACTGCATGGAGAGGCTCTTAGATCACAGTACGGTTGACGTAGGAAGTAATAGTAGGAGAAAACAGAAAAACTTGGGGCCAGATAGATAGTACAGGGGTAGGGCTCTTGCTCTGCATGTGACTGTCCTGGGTTTGGTCCAAGATACCCCATACGGCCCCCACGCACTGCCAGGAATGATCCCTGAACACAGTGTGAGCCCCCCCCAGACCCCCCCAAAGTAGTTTTTCTTAGAGAAAAGCTCATGTCTTTGTAAATTAAAAATCATTTCTCAATAGCCCACATTTCAATAAAAAAGTATAGGGACCAGAGAGAGTACAGGGTTGGTAACGACTGGCCCTGCATGTGGCCTGCCCAGGATTCACCCCCAGCTCTGACCCCCTGAGCACTCCTGAATCACTCCTGACTACAGAGCCAGAATAGTCCTGAGTCCTGCTGGGCGTGGCCCACTCTCCCCAGACAAAAATAGTCTAAGAAATGAGAAAAAAAATAGAAAATGCTGAGGACTGTTGAAATAAAGAGTAGAAATAGAACAGCTACAAGTTTTTGAAAAAGACAAAACTGACAGTTTTTTTTTTAATATGTAGGAGTACTGCTATTTATTCGACCACTGATTAGGCTGATTGAATTGTTCATGAACTCCACTGACAGATTTCTTAATAATGATCAAGTCACAAATCATGTCAGTAATGAAAGAGACGTAACAGTAGAAGCTAGAAAACATTAAAACTAAGAGAATATTAAAAGGCCCTCCCGTTGATCGTCGATTTGCTCGAGCGGGCCCAGTAACTTCTCCATTGGAGACTTTGTTGTTACTGTGTCTGGCATATCGAATACTCTCGGTAGCTTGCCGGGCTCTCTGAGAGGGGTGGAGGAATCGAACTCGGGTCGGCCATGTTGGCTGCGTGTAAGGCGAACGCCCTACCCGCTGTGCTATCGCTCCAGCCCCCCAGAGAATATTAGATTTGTCAAATAAGTGAGTACATTCTTGGTTAAAAAGTTTCTTATTAGATGGGGCTGGAGTGATAGCACAGCGAGTAGGGTGTTTGCCTTGCATGCAGCCGACCCAGGTTTGATTCCCAGCATCCCATATGGTCCCCTGAGCACTGCCAGGAGTAATTCTTGAGTGAGACCCAGGAGTAACTCCTGTGCATCGCCAAAAAGCAAAAAAAAAAAAAAAAAAAGTTTCTTATTAGAGAGATGAAAAGCAACCAAATAATGCAATAACCAACAATTAAATTGACTTAGGAGTCCAAAATCTTACCAAAAGGAAATTTTAAGGTCCAAATTGCTTCACCTCAATTTTGACTTAACATTTAAAGAAAAAATTCCGGCTTCATCAAGTATCTGTTACTGTATGGCAAGTCACCCTAAAAGATGGTGGCATGGGCTCTAAGTGATAGTATGGTGGGGAGGGCACTTGCCTTGTACACATCTGACACAGGTTCGATCCCCAGCACCCCAGAAATAATTCCTGAGTGCAGAGCCAGGAGTAACCCCTGAGCATTCCTCTGTGGCCCAAACGTTTAAAAAAAATGGTAGTAGCTTCGAGAGGAAGAGGCCTTGTCTCCTCTAGGGGCCACGGGACCCTCGGCAGGACAGCACTGCCTGGGCGCTTGCATTGAATGGTGTTTGTGCTCGAGGTCAGACATGGCCTGGAATGTCCACTCTCGGGCAGTGCTCACAGGCATCGCCAGTAGGCCCCACATTCTCTTCATGACCTGTCAGTGTCCGGGGGCTGCCTCAGCCCAAGCCAGGATGCCTAATCTTTGGGCTCCTCAGAGAAGAAGCAGGGCTGTTTCAGCCGAGTGGGGACCCCACTCTGCGCACAGGCTCGCAGCACTTCCAGCGTTTTACTTCTCAGATTCTGAGCATCTATCTACTGCTTGATACTAGTAGATAACTTTTCACAGGAAGTGACTCAACAGTTCCCCAAGATTTTCTTCCGTCACAGTGCAGGGGCTGGCTCTGAGCAAGCTGTGTTTGCCCAGAGCTCCCTGTACCCTGTGCCATGCTCTGGGTGGGCGGGCTGGGCCTTGAGGCTCTGCATCACTCTGGGCGTTGTAGGGCAGAGGTTTTCAGCCTTTTATACCGATGGCGCTGTGGTTGGCAAATGCTGGCCCAGAGTCCTGGGTCCTTTTTGCAGAGTCCACAGTCTCTTTGAGAGGTGTCTTCCAGAGGTGTCGAGAGGAACTGAGAAGCCCAGTGTGGGGATGGGCGGGTGGCCCCTGAAGAGAGGGGTCTGGTGTGGCTGTCCTCATGGATACTTCCTTCTGACATCCTTGCTCTCTTCCAGAACCCTGCCATCAGCATCGCCGAGAATACCCTGCATTTCAGAGGTCAGTGTCTGAAATAAAGTCATGGAGTGGGTATTTTTTTTTTAAATGTTTAGTTTTATTCACTTTGTTTTGCTGCCAAACTCTTAGGGATCAACTAGATTAGTTGGAAATATGGTGAGAAAAGCCAAAAAATTTGTTTAAAAATCTCTTGTTCCTTAGCGTGGCCAAAGATACAGTGAAAAGGAATCCAGGGCTGCAAGTTGGGACAGCGGCCTCCTAATTCTGACTCTGTTACACCCAGGCCTGCTTATTGACCTCTCTGGGCCCGTAAAGGAGAGAATTGTGCTATAACCTGTACTTGTCCTGCTCGAGAACCCAGAAACACCAGCGAATATGTGCACAGCATCCTACAGGCACGGGCCCCAGAAGGAAGGACATTGGGAATGAAATGTGGCCACTACTTTCTTTGTTTCTTGGGCCACAACTGGCTTTGCTCAGGGTGTACTCATGGGCTCTGCACTCATGGATGACTCTTGGCAGGCACAGTACACCATATGCGGTGCTGGAGGTCGAATCTGGGTTGGCCCCAGTCACAAACATAGCCATGAACATGTGATGGTGCGTGATTATCACGTCGCCATCTACATGATCTAGAGTATGATGCTTTGAAAAAAAAAAAAGATAAAAAACCAGAAATATTCTTCATTATGGCTCCCCTTAAAAAACCAAGCTCCTGGAAGAGAACAACGCAGAGTCTCCTGCTCCCGCGCCTGGCTGTCCTCACCGGGGCCCCTTGGAGGGGGGTGGATTGAGTTTCCCTCTTCGTCCTGAGCAGAGCCCCGGCAGCCGAAGACCTCCGGGACCCAGCCACAGCCATGCTGAGACCACTCTCCACACACTAGAATGGGCCTCATGCATGAAGGAACTGGCAGAGGAACCCAGGTGTGCGGGACCTGGGGCTGAGATCTCCAAGCCTGCTCAGTTCGGGACTGCTCCACCCAGATCCCCCATCTTCCAGTAGCTAGACAGTTACATCCACCAACTGCTATGTAACCCCATCAATGGCCAAGATCCAGAGACTATAAAACCCAAACCTGGAAGCTTATTGTCTAGTTCTCACTCTCAGAGAACCCAGCAGGCTACTGAGAGTCTCCTGCCCACATAAATGCCTGGCTGGAAACACCTGTAAAGGTGATTAGAGGCTGCTCCAAAAGCCTCCATCCCTCACGGAGACACGACAAGCTACCGAGAGTATCCCGCCCACACGGCAGAGCCTGGCAAGCTACCTGTGGCGTATTCGATATGCCAAACACAGTAACAATGATGGTCCTCATTCCCCTGACCCTGAAAGAGCCCCCAATATGCCATCGGGCTACACTAGCACGTGACAGGGATGAATGGAGATGTTACCGGTGCCCTCTCGAGCAAATTGACGAACAGCAGGGTGATAGTGATAGTGATGGCTCCCCTTAGCATAATACCTTTGCACAGCGGTGACTCAGTCTTTGCTTCTGTGCGTCCCTGCCTTTCTCCTGCATCCAGCAGAGTCCCTGGCTCCCTGGTCCCCATGGGCTGGGGTCTCCCTGCTTCGATCCAGTTCCTTGGCTGGGACTGGGGGATCTGCATCTTCCGCTTCACATGGCCTTTCTTCTGTCCTCAGACACCAGCATACAAGTGTTGCAGGGTTTTGCATCCACTTTCCGTGATGAGCAGCGGTGGTGGCAACTCACATTCATGGGAGTCCATGCTCAGTGTGTTCCTGCTGCTGGGCTTGTGGGATTGTCTTCCGTCAGGGTGTGAGTCCGAGGACATTCGGTCGCCACCTGTAGCAAGTATTAGGCAAGTTGTGGTGGAGGAGGCAGGTGAGGTAAGAGTGCCAAGAGGCCCACAGTGCCGACGAGCCAGGAGGCCGGGGACCGCATCTCGGCTGGGCTTGTTTTGGGAAGACGAGCAGGGGCCCCATGTAAAGGTGGTGTGACCACATTTCTCTTAGGTGTGACTGAGAAGGGCCGAGCGATAGCATAGCGGGTAGGGCATTTGCCTTGCACGTGGTCGACCAGGGTTCGATTCCTCTGCCCCTCTTGGAGAGCCCGGCAAGCTACCGAGAGTATTCTGCCCGCATGGCAAAGCGTAGCAAGCTACCTGTGACGTATTCGATATGCCAAAAACAGTAACAAGTCTCACAGTGGAGACGTTACCGGTGCCCGCTTGAGCAAAATCGATGAACAATGGGAGGACAGTGGCAGTGACTGAGAAACTTGGATTTCTCTTCCCATGTCCCATGAGAGTTGCAACACAGAGAAACTGGCGTCTGCAGCCTTTGTGTCTGGTTGGGAGTTGTTAGACTACAGAACTCAACTGCCTCATCAGCCAGCATTTTCATGTACCCTGAAATTTCCCTAACTGGCTTCAAGATAACGTATCCTGGATCGGTTTCCTCAGACCCAGGCCCGGAGCCAAAGTAAATGTGGAAGCTGGACTTATCTGATGCCTGTGGCCTTGCTTTCTCTTAACCTTTCTTTTTTTTTTTTATATATATATATTTTTTTTATTTTTAAAAAATTTTTTTAGTGAGACACCATGAGGTACAGTTGTAGACTTACAAATTTTTGTGCTTGAGTTTCAATTATTCTCTTAACCTTTCCTGCCTTATTTGTACACGGTATCATCAAGGCCACATTGGAAGAGTAAATACACTGGAATGAGCGTCAGAAGGCTCTGTGGCGAGGGCTGGCAAGGGCTGGCGTGTGACTCAGAAGTTCGCAAGGCATTTGCATGCCTTGCAGATAGGAGGCCCTGGTTCGATTCCTGGCACCTAAACACACACACACACACACACACACACACACACACACACAACTAAAATGAGGATTAAAAAAAGTGTAAATGAGGATCTGTAGGGAGGTAGACTTTAATTTTGGGCTTTGCTTTTCTAGTTGCTGTGCAGGTCTGTTCAGAGTTTTGGCAGGATTGTTCTGGAAGACTTGCACCTCTCATTCTCACGGGGCCTTGCTCTGCTGGGATTCACAGACCCCCGCTTCTCTCTCCCCACAGCTCAGGGCCACGGTGCCAAGGGCGACAATGTCTATGAGTTTCACCTGGACTTCTTGGACCCTGTGAAGCCCCAGGTAGGTGCTTCCTTTCTCTCGTCCTTTGCCTGCGGAGTGGCTCCCGGAGTCAGGGCGCAAGGGGCAGCGGTGGGAAGGAAGCAGAGAGAAAACCAAGGTGGGCTGCAGTTCTTAGATTCTGAGGGTCTTCATTGCCTTCACCTCCATTTCCTCGGCCTCAGAGGATCAGACGCAACGGTTTTGGGTGGTCCGAGAGTCCCTGGTTTCTAGCATGGCCCTGTGGTGCTCACTGAAGGAACACCTGACCAGACCTGTGGCTTGGCCTCCGGGGCAGTAGAACCAGGAGAAATCAGGCAGGACTGAGGCCGCCGAGCGTCAGAAGTCTGACTTAGGAACGTCCCCTTTTCTCAGACCTGGGAAAGGATCTCACACAGGCGGGGAGAGCAGTCACCAGATGGAGGCGTCCAGCTTCCGTCCTGGGGCTGTTAGCGGCTTCCTCTGGGTGGCCTCCACACCAGGGGGAGCGCGTGCAGTGCACGCCTGCTTTGCCCTTGGAGAGGACAGGCCAGGGAGTCACCTTTAGTGATAAGCCCCTACCGTTCCAGCTCTGGCCTCGTGGAAGAGGTCCCGCGGGAGTGGAGCCCCGACTGCGGCGGTCTCCCTGGAAGGGAAGTGTAATGAATGAACACTTCCTCCAGGTACCAGGGAGGCCGGCAGGGGGCTCCTTGCATTGCTGTTGGAGAGTGAGAGGCGCTGCCCCGGCTCCACTGTGTCTGGGTGTCCCTCTGCATTCAGTGTAGAAGGCGGAGACAGGCCCAGAGTGGGCAGCTTGGCTGCTCTGGAAGCCACATGGGCTCGGCGCAGTCTCGGGCCTGTGTGGGGCCAGGGACTACATCCTTTCACCATCTCGCTCTCTCCTAGCCGGCTTACAAAGTGACCCAGAGGCAGGTGAACATCACGGTGCAGAAGAAGACCAGCCAGTGGTGGGAGAGGCTCACCAAGCAGGAGAAGCGCCCGCTGTTCCTGGCCCCCGACTTCGACCGCTGGCTGGACGAGTCTGATGCGGAGTCAGAGCTCAGAGCCAAGGTCAGAGCTGATCTCGAGCAGCCCAAGTATTGGGAGCCACCTCAGACACCCCTTGGGCCTGCCAGAGTTGGTCCAGGGAGGGAGCTTCAAGGGCAGGGGTGCTGACTTGTTTGGGGGAGTGCCAGGCCCTGCCCCCGTGCCACATGTTCCCCCAGGCACTGCCAGTGGTGGCCCCAGGCACCACCCAGTGTGGTCCAAAAGCAACACCCCCAGCCAGCCACCAAGTTACAAGTTCATGTAAAGACCCTGAGGCCTGGCTCCCTAGGAGAGCTTGGGCCTTGGCTGGGGTTTACTGGATGTTTCCCTCTTGACAGGACAGGGTAATGGGGGTTTGGGGAGGAAAGCGACAGTCAAGCGACATTGAACCAGTCAAGTGTCATTTGTATTGTGTCTGTCGGGTACACACGGGCTGTCAGCAGGACACTGATCTGACCTGGCTGAGGTTGTGCGCCACTCTCTCTGCCTGAAAGTTAATTCTTCTTATTTCTTTTTTTGGGGGTTGGGTGTTGGGGGTGTTCCCAGTAGTGTTCATGGGCCCTGGGGCCACTCGCGGGGGCCTGTGGCTAGCTGTGCGTGCTGGAAGGCCTGTCCTCTGCCCTGTTGAAACGGGGCTGCCAGGCCCAGCACTGCTTCAGAGCTCCCACAGACATCTCTTGGGACTTTGGGGTGATACTTGGGGGTCAGACTCCGGTTTCCTGCATGCCAGGCCTGTGTTCTCACCCTGTGATGGTCTCCCTGGCCCCCTCCTGCCCTCCTCAGCAGAGAGTCACTGCACAGTCCATGCTCAGAGTCTTGCTTGCCCTGGACGTTAGTAAAGGAATGGCTTCTCGGTGTGAGAGATTGGCCTGTGAGCTCCCAGTTCCTCACTTAATGCCCTTTATTCATCATAGCAGGAACCAGTGGCTGTTAAGTCCAGTGCTCTGTGGCTTAAATGGGTGGTTTAGATTGTTCCAGCTGTGACCATTGGTGGCTATTTCCGTAGATCCATGCGCTTTGACATAAAGCTTCATTGGATGGCACAAGTTTTTAGGACTTTCCTGAGTTCTGCCTTTGTGGGCTACCCCTTGTCATCCTCATCCTCCCCTTGCGCTCCTCCGCCCTCCCCCAGTGCTGTGGATACACTTGGGGCAGATTTCGCCGTCATCCCTGTCTCAGCCCTAGAGTGGGCTGTTCTTCAGAGACCTCTGCCCTTTCTGTTGGGGCATGTAGTGGGTGCCCGGCGGGTGCTGGCTGAGTCAGGGGTGCTGGTGCTCAGGCTGTCGGAGCTGCAGTCCCCCAGGAATACTTCCCCATGTCTCTGTCTCTACACACTTAATGTGGGCCTGTGTATTGGAAATGTGATTTTGACTGGAAAAATTTTCATTTTTGTCGGGAGAGCCACACCCAGTGGTGCTCAGGGCTTACTCCTGGCTTTGTGCTCAGAGATCACTCTTGGTGGTACTTGGGGAGACCATGCGGGATGCTGCGGATTGAACCTGGGTTGGCTGCGTGCAAGGTGAACGCCCTACCCGCTGTACTATCGCTCCCACCTCCCAAAAATCTCAAACTCTTGTACAGTAGAAATCTGTTTTCTGCCTCAATTTTTTTTGTTTCGCTATTTTCAACCATGACAAGCCTCTAGGAGTGTTTCTCCCTCGAAGGTTCTGAGACCCCCACCTTAATAGTTTGTCAGTTAGTTGGCTTGATTCTGGAGCGCTGGCTGGGCCTCTGGTAGTGTCCGTGAGCCCAGTGGAGAGGGTGTGGGCTTATTTGCTGTCACAAGTGAAGGCATTTATTTTTTCACCCCCAACTGAATCATCTGCACTATCAGAGGAGGTGATTCTGAGCCCCCATGAACTGTGGGTGCCCGTTTGGCCTCTGAGGATTCTAACTTGTATTCTTGGGAAACCTCTGTCTGAATTCTAGGAAGAGGAGCGCCTGAACAGACTCCGGCTGGAACGGGAAGGCTCCCCTGAATGTGAGTGGCCTCTGCGGCCGTGGCCCTGGGTGGCATGTGACGTGGCGGGCTGTGGGTGGCTCTGCTGAGAAGAGTATCAGTGTTGTAGCGTGAGATGAGGAGTAATACCTTGTGTCCAGAGCTCTGAGGACTGTCACGGCCACAGCACAAGTTGGTGTTGCCATGTCTCCTGGGCTCTTCTCATGACTGGGAGCCGGAAAGTCCCCCTGCCCAGTGCTCTGTCGCCTCTGACCCCTGTGAGCATCTGTTCTGCATTTCATCCATGTTGCCAATGATGAAAAACAAAATGAAGTTTCTTTCAAGAAGCTATTAGAAGGGCGCGCGCGAGAGAGAGAGACTTTAATTTTTTTAATATTATTTATTTATTTTTTTGCTTTTTGGGTCACACCTGGCATTGCACAGGGCTTACTCCTGGTTCTGCGCTCAGGAATCACTCCTGGCAGTGCTCAGGAAACCATACGGGATGCTGGGAATTGAACCCGGGTTGGCTGCGTGCAAGGCAAACACCCTACCCGCTGTGCTATTGCTCCAGCCCCGAGAGAGAGACTTTAAATACACACAGCAATCATTCAGCTGTATGAACCGAAAATGAACCTAAGTTCTAGATCAATGGGAAAAGATTAGCTCCCACTCCTGCTTCTTGCTTCACACCCGGCTGTGATCTACCCTTTGCCACCTACAGACTCTTGGCTGGATGCGGCCATGTGGTCAGCTGGAGTATCCCACAGGTCCAGGCTATATTTCTTCCTTTCGTCTGGGACCTCAAGTCTGTTCTGCGGACACGTGTGTTCTTGATTGAACGATGACTGAACAGGCATCATCCTGCTGATCATCAGCCTTTGACAGATCCCATTCCAGGGCCCAAGTAACAATTTTTTTTTTCCAAGTGTATTTTTTGCCTGGAGGAAACCCATGTTTGCGCCACGTGCTCCTCTGATCACCCCCTGCTGGGAAGAGACCCTAAATGGCACTGATATGGTCCACTCTATGCCTTAAAAAAAAAATCAGTTCCATTCTTGTACTTCACTGATGAACAGTAAGTGCTCAAAGGGTGTTGTAATTTGTGGTGATGTAGGTTTTTTTGAGGGGGGCACACCCAGCTGTGCGCAGGGCTCACTCCTGGCTGTGCACTCAGGGATCACTCCTGGTGGGCTTGAGGACCCTCTGGAGTGCTTGGAGTCGAACCCAGGTTGCCTGCGTGCAAGCAGGATACTGGACTATTGCTCTTGTTTTCTTTCTTTCCAGTACCTTCTAAGGTGATCTTTCTTTGTGCGAGGGAATTTTTGTTTATTTATTTTTTTATTTTTGAGTCACATCTGATGGTACAGGTCTTACTCCAGGCTCTGAGCTCAGGGATCACTCCTGGCAGGGCTCCTGGGCCTCTTTGCAGTATAGGGGTCAAATGGGGATTGGCAGTGTGCCAGGCAAGTGCCTGACCCTTGAACTGTCTCTCCAGCCCAGCCGGGCCTGTTTTCCTTGTTTTTTTTTCTGGATTTGTGATTCACATATTTTCCCTTTAAGTCTGGTGGGAGAGATGGCTGCAGACAGACGTGGGCACCCTGTCCTGCTCGTGCTACTCATGAAGGCTTCTCTGGGGGACCTGAGCCCAGGGCTGGTGCTGAAGATGCCAAGTGGGAAAGAGGGATGGATTCATCCCTCTCTCTCTCTCACCCACTTGTCTGCCGAGAGCACTGCTTTTTTTTTTTTAAATTTTTATTAGTGAGACATCATGAGGTACAGTTGTAGACTTAAAAATTTTTGTGCTTGGGTTTCAATTATACAATGATCAAATACCCATCCCTCCACCAGTGCCCATTTCCCACCACCACAGATCCCAGTATCCCTCCCACCCCCCATTCCCCAATCCTACCCTGCCTCTGTGGCAGGGCATTCCCTTTTGTTCTCTCTCTCTTATTGGGTATTGTGGTTTGCAAAAGAGGCAATGGGTGACAATCGTGTTTGGTCTATAGTCTACTTTCAGCATGCTTCTCCCATCCTGGGAGGATCCTCCCAACACCCTTTATTTGGTGCTCCCTTCTCTATCTGAGCTCCCTTTTCCCCTAGAATGTGTGGTTGGCCTCCAAGCCATGGAGTGAAATTCCTGGTACTAATCTCGGCCATTCTTGGGTGTTAGTCTCCTATTTTGTTACTTTATGTTTTCCAGATGAATGCAATCTTTCTATGTCTATCCCTTTCTTTCTGATTCATTTCGGAGAGCACTGCTTTTAACAGCGCGCTCCTTGCTTTGCTTTCCAGCTATGGCAAACCTGAGGAAAGGATATTTGTTCATGTATAATCTCGTGCAGTTCCTGGGCTACTCCTGGATATTCGTCAACATGACCGTGCGGTACTTAATCTTCGGAAAAGGCAAGTACAACATTGCAAGGATCATTTGTCCCTTTTTTTTTTTTAAATCAGAATACTTGCTGTCACAGTGATAGTATCTGCCTTTTAGCTCCTGCAGTGGGTAAGCACTTGCCTTGCACGTGGCTGACCTTGGTTCCATCATCCAGGGCAGATGGTTCCGCAAACCCAGCAGGAGTTATCCCTGAGCACTGCCACCCTTGGTGTGGCCCCTAAACAAACAAAAAATGACCCTCAGTATTGTATGGCTTGTGTAGCCCTCCTGCCTTTCCAACTGTATGTTCTGATCCCCATGGCCTTGTGAAACGAGAAGATTGGATATTCAGTGAATTTTCCAGGGGTAGAGGCAGGCTCTGAGATGGTTAAAGAAATGTTCCCTGTCTGCACGGTTCGACAGGGCACATCTCAGAAAGTTGTCCTTCCCTTGTTGGCCATGCATTTATAACTCGATAAATTGATATGATAACCTAAAGCCACACGAGACCAAAAGCAATATGTACCTTTTTGGAGACTAAACTTTCAATTTTTTGTTTTCTTTTTCTTTTTGGGTCATGCCTGGCATAAGTGCTCAGAGCTTATCTCTGTCTCTGTGCTTAGGAATCACTCTTGGTGGTGCTGGGGGACCATATGGGGCGCTGGAGCTGGAACCCAGGTCGGCTGGTTGCAAGGCAAGCACCCTCCCCGCTGTGCTATTTCGGCAGTTACGTCGCTTGAGAGATCATGATCATTATCGGTATTTGCTTACTGACTTGCTCTTCGTGTATTTGTTCCCTAGAGTCCTTCTATGACACATTCCACAGTGTTGCTGACATGATGTACTTCTGCCAGATGCTGTCACTCGTGGAACCTATTAATGCTGCCATTGGGGTCACCAGCTCGCCCCTGCTACCTGCTCTCATCCAGGTCAGGAGCGTGCTGCTCGTGGTGGGAATGAATGGGTTCAGGCTTACTTAGGAGCCGTGTCACCATTTCATGCGTCTCATCTAATAGAAATACCTTCTGGTACAGAGCAGCACTGTCTGAACAAGTTGGAAAATTAGACTCGTGTATTTTCTCTAAAGTTGACTTGGATCATTTTACTGTTTATAGCTGCTTCCTAGGAGTTTTCGAATTTGATTATCAGAGATGGGGCTAGGGCTTAGTGGTAAAGCACAAGACTTGCAAGTTGTCTCCCGCTTCCAGTAATTTCAGGGCAAATGTCGTACTTGCTGTACTGTCTCTGGTCCCTGAAAATAGGCTTTTATGATTTGCGTGGGGTTTACTTTCCCTGCACATCTAGGTTGCTCTCAGGGATAAGGTCTTTCATCCTCCTCCCTAGCTCTGCAGTTACATGCCATTAAGTACTACCTACTGGGGCTGGAGTGACAGTACAACTGGGAGGGCACTTACCTTGCATGTGGCAGACCCCAGTGTGATCCCGACACTCGATATGGTTCCCTCCAGCCTGCCAGGAGTGATCCTTGAGCACAGAGCCAGGAGTAAGCCCTGAGCACTGCCAGGTGTTCAAAAGTCCTACTACCTACTGGGGTTCAGGTCCCAGATCATTGTTGCCTGTTCTCTTCTGGATTACGTTGTTATAAATTTTCCCGCTTTTTGCCATGGGTAATGGGGCTAACTGCAATAGCCGTGTTTTTTTCTGTGTTTTTATAAAGAGGCTATTCTGTTTCCTTTTTAAATTTTATTTTTATTTTTTTACTATTATATATATAATATATATATATCTCACCATGAGATAGTTACAGACTTATAAACTTTTGTGATTATGTTTCAGTTATACAATGTTTGAGTACCCATCCCTCCACCAGTGCCCATTCTCCACCACCAAAGTTCCCAGTATCCCTCCCGACACCCCACCCCTTCCCACCCCCTGCCTCTGTGGCAGGCACATTCCCCCTTACTCTCTCTCTCTCAGGTATTATGGTTTACAATACAGGTACTAAGTGGCCATCATATTTGGTCCTTTAATTTCAGCACACATCTCCCATCCCAAGTGAGCCCTCCAACCATCATTGACTTGGTGGTCCCTTCTCTATCCCAACTGCCTTTTCCCCCAGCACCTGAGACTGACTCCCAAGCCATAGAGCAATCCTCCTGGCCCTTATCTCTACTATCCTTAGGTGTTAGTCTCCCATTATGTTACTTTAGATTCCACAAATGAGTGCAGTCATTCTTTTTCTCCCTCTCTGACTCATTTCACTTAGCATGATTCTCTCCATGTCTTTTTTTTTTTAAATCGGGGCAGGAGGAGTATGTGTGTCAGCGCAGGGCCGTACCTGTCACAGCTGATTTGAGAAGCTAAGCAAGTTACAGAATAGTGTGTGCAGCATGATTCCTGAGTGCTTGAAACTGGGAAAAATGAAATACTGTCCTGTTTAGGAATAATTGCATAAGCGGTCCTTATTTTTTTTGGGGGGGCCCACACCTGGTGACGCTCAGGGCTTACTTCTGGCTCTGCACTCAGGAATCACTCTTCATGGGCTTGGGGGACCATATGGGTGCTGGGGGATGGAACTCAGATCAGCTGCTTGCAAGGCAGGCACCCTCCCCACTGTACTGTCTCTTTGGCCCCTATAAGCGGAGGAATAGCTCATACTGGATGGTACGAGGGTGTCTGTGTCCGTGTGTGTGTGTGTGCGCGCACGCGTGCGTGCGTGCAAGCATGCACCACACTGGTAATATGTTTGGTTAAGTTGTGTACACGTGTGTCATTTGGTAAAGTCTGGGTTTTTTTGTTTTTTTGTTTCTTTTTGGGTCACACCCAGCTATGCTCAGGGGTTACTCCTGGCTCTGCACTCAGGAATCACTCCTGGTGGTGCTCGGGGGACCATATGGCATGCTGGGAATCAAACCTGGGTTGGCCGTGTGCAAGGCAAATGCTCTACCTGCTGTGCTATCACTCCAGGCCCCACATGTGTCATTTGGTTGTATTATTTAAACTGTATTTTAAGAGATAGACTCGTTATGGTGTCATCTCTGCATTCAGATGTTCCTGTCTATCAAGAGAGACCAGTTTGGGCACTTGAACTTATTCTCAAACTGGAGTAGATGCTGAAACCACTTGAGCTAATCTTTTCCCATTGATCTAGAACTTAGGTTAGTTTTCATGTCTTACATCTGTATGCTCTTCCGAGATCAGATGAGATCAGGCGCGTTCAGGGTGGTATGGACTGGAGCAATAGCACAGCGGGTAGGGCGTTTGCCTTGCACGCGGCCAACTGGGTTCGATTTCTCCATCCCTCTCGGAGAGTCACGCAAGCTACCGAGAGTATCCTGCCTGCATGGCAGAACCTGGCAAGCTCCCCGTGGTGTATTCGATATGCCAAAAACAAGTAATAACAAGTCTCACAGTAGAGGCGTTACTGATGCCTGCTTGAGCAAATTGATGAACAATGGGAGGACAGTGCCACAGTGCTACATCTGTATGATTGTTGTGTATATTTAAAGTTTCTCTCTCTCTCTCCTCTCTTTCTCTTTCTCTCTCTCACTCACTCGTTTTTCTAATAGCTTCTTGGAAGAAACTTCATTTTGTTTTTCATCATTGGCAGCATGGATGAAATGCAGAACAAAGCTGTGGTTTTCTTTGTGTTTTACATGTGGAGCGCCATTGAAATTTTCAGGTGGGTGGAAGTGCTGGGCTTGGACTGGGATTCAAGTCCCTTTTCTGGAGGGAGTCGCTGTGGCAGCCTGGGGAAGTACTGCTTGGTTTGGGATAAGAGTTTTGGCCACGCCTCTGCTCCGCATGTGGGAGGAAGTGCTCTTTGGAAGCCTGTCCTGGTCCCCATTATGGCAGCCACTCCCTGGGAGCACCAAGGAAAGCCTGAAAGAGAAGGCCTGTCTCCCACCTGCCAGACTGTGTGGGCTTGTTGGAGACAGAGGGAGTGTTCACATGGGAAAATTCTGGACAGGGCAGAAGCAACATGGGCTGATGGAGTAACGGAAGTTGGGTCGAACTTGTTTAACCAGTCTTAGGATAAACACTAATTTTCTACTACTACAGGATTGCTGATCAGTCAGCTCTTATTGTTTCATTCTCATTTGTCAGATGAAGAAACATCTTGAAAATAATTCCAAAGTGGTGGACCTGATGCTAGAAGTACTACATAGATACAACAGTAATATTGGCATGATTGTTAAAAAATAAAAATATATAGACTGAAATACTGAAATAGAGCCAATGTAAGCCTTTTTTTTTTTGTTTTTTTGGACCACATCTGGCGGTGTTGGGGCACCATATATGGTGCAGGGGTTTTACCTGGATTGGTGGCAGGCAAGCCAACACCCTACCTACTGCCCCCTGGCTTTTATTTATTTTATGACATAGAAGTTCTCTGTGTACAGCATTTTAAATCAGTTTCACTATTTTGTTCTTAGATTTTTTGGTATTTAATATTGAGTTATGCCACCTCTTTTAAAATAATGTCTTACGACAATCTTTTATATACTTGAATTTTTTTTTTGGGGAAGATATCACAGGGACTAACTATATGTGGTGCCAGGATATGAATCATTGTTACGGCCACAACTTCAGCAGGAGAAGTGCCTTGACCTCCAGACTGTCTCTCTTGCCCCTGTGTACTTACTTTCGGTAGTTTATTTTGATACTCTGATAGTTTATTTTTGATAGTTGATTCCCTGATACTTTATTTTCAGAGATCAAGTGTCATTCTTACCCAGTTGGAATGTAGATCAGAATACAGACTAAAAACTTCTGAGCATCTAGTTCATATGCTGAACTGCTTCAGAGAGGTTTCTTATAATCTTAATATTTAGTCTTCCGTTAAAGGAAGCTCATATGTGTTTTTCTTTTTCCTTTTGTTTGTTTTTTGGGCCATACCTGGCAGTTCTCAGGGCTCACTCCTGGCAGGACACGGGACCTTTTGTGATCCGAGGACTGAACCCGTTTCTTTCTTTCTTTTTTTTTGCTTTTTGAGTCGCACCTGGTGATGCACAGGGGTTACTCCTGGCTCATGTACTCAGGAACTATTCCTGGAGGTGCTCAGAGGACCATATGGGATGCTGGGAATAGAACCTGGGTTGGCCTCATGCAAGGCAAACACCCTACCCGCTGTGCTCTCACTCCAGCCCCGGACTGAACCCATTTCGACAGCAAAGCAAGTGCCCTTACCCACTGCACTATGGCTCTGGTCTGAAAGTTCGAGGTCTTTTAAAATTTGGAGAGGACTGTAATAGAAGTTTGTACATAGTTTAGGGTGATAGTGATTCTGGCACGGAGAAGCCTCTGTGACTGGTGGCAAGATGACCCTTACCTCAGCTGAGGCAGGGCTACGTGGCGCCTGCAGTGACTTGAGCCTTGACTTCCCTGCAGGTACCCCTTCTACATGCTGGCCTGTGTGGACATGGACTGGAAGGTGCTGACGTGGCTCCGTTACACAGTGTGGATTCCCTTATACCCTCTGGGGTGTTTGGCAGAAGGTACTTGGAGGAGCACTTGGGTTTTTTTGGCTTAGGGACTGGCTCTGCACTCAGTGATCTTTCCTGGTGGGGTTCAGGTGCTGGGGATCAGGTAAGCCACCTGCAAGACACATGCCCTCCCCGATGTACTATTGCTCTGGTCCCTGAAACACCAGGTCTTACAGCTTGATTTCAAGATCTAGTGAGCTGCTGGGCCAGATCTTTCATCTCATTCTGCCAACCTTAGCCCAACAGTTTTTCGAAAAGAAATTCTTCCTCCTCTCATAATAATTCTTGTTGCCCAGATGGTTCTGGGGAAGTCCCTTAGAAAAATCTAAGACCGGGCAGCGGGGGCAGGCGTGCTGCTGACGGGTTTCTGGGGCACCTTAACGGTGTGATCAGGTCCCAGCGATGAGCTTCTTTCAGCCTGACAAACACCTAAATGGTGAGCCTGGTAATGATGGCTTCTGCTGTTACCAGGAGCAGGAAACTTAACCCGGTGCTCTCCGTGGACCGTTGCTCACGCATCCTGTTGGCAGCTTATTTCTTAGGAGAACTGGGCAGGGGCAGAGAAGAGACAGGTGTCCTTTGGGGGGAGGAGGGGAGCGACAGCCCTGGGTGTCAGTTTCAGCAGCCCTGAGCTGACACTGCAGGCACAGGCGGTCGTCGCTCACGCGGCTCTCCTCTCTGCTTCCAGCTGTGGCGGTGATCCAGTCCATTCCGCTGTTCAACGAGTCCGGGCGGTTCAGCTTCACGTTGCCCTATCCACTGAAAATCAGAGTCAGATTTTCCCTTTTCCTCCAGATTTATCTTATAATGTTATTTTTAGGTAAGTATTGGCTCTGTAATAGATTTCGTTGGGCTCTGTGTCACTTCCTAGAGGGGAGAGTTAGAGGATTAAAAAATTTCAGATCCTTCATAAAAAATATTTTATTTATTAAACCACGGTGTTTTATTTTTTTAAACTTTTAAATTTTATTTTCATAAAGTTGTTCACAATAATTGATTACATTCAGTATTTCAACACCAGTCCTACCAACCATTATTTTGAAGTTTCCCACCACCACTCAAGCCTGGCCCACAGGCAGATGCTAGATCATTTATTTTGTATTGCTTGTTATGAATAGTATAAGATGTCTTAAGGGTCTGTCTCGCAGTGATTCAACAAAAAAGCAAAAGTATGAGATATTGCGCGGCTGCAAAGGTGGCTGTGTGCTCCTGGGATTCCAAAAATTTAATTATTGGGGTCCGGAGCTATCCCTGCAGTGAGCTGCTCAGTTCTGAGATTCATTTGTGAGTCTCTGGATCATGGCTGCTAATGCACTTGAATGGCACCCGGAGGCAGTTCAATAAAAATATTTTAAAGTCCATAACAGGAGAATATGCTCTGTGTAGAAGTCTTTATTCCTGGGTCTCCAATGGCTGAGTTAACCTTGGTTTTGGGACATGCCCAGTGATACTCATTGGGTATTCTGCGGGGGGAGGGAGGCAGTGGTCACTGCGGGTAGTTTGTGGATTGAACCTGGGCCTCCTGCATGCACAGGCATGTGCTCAGTCCATTCAGCACCTCTCCGACCTTTAGTTAGCCTCTGTGTTAGAATTAAAATTTTTTTTTTTTTTAGAATTAAAATCACTTGGCAGTGCTTAGGTCTTACTCCTCTCCTGGTGGGCTTGGGAGACCATCTGGGTTGTCAGGATAGAACCCGGTTCAGTCATTTGTAAGGCAGACACCCTACCAGCTGTGCTGTTGCTCTGGACCCAAGACCACATTTCTTTTCCCGAGTTTCCAGAGTTGGTGATTCAGCTGTTAAAAAAGGAAGAAGGCAGTGAAGTCTCTGCCAGCCAAGAGATGTCAGCACAATCTGTTTTTCATAGACGACCTGCTTATTCATTAATTTGCTGTGATATAAAATTATCAACGCTTGCCTTAAGTCATAGAAGAGCCAAAAGAAGGGAAAACAAAGTAAATCTAGATTGAAAAAAAAAAAAAAGTCTGGGTTGACTCCTAGAGAGTGCAGTGGCCGGGGAGTGCTGGACTGGCCCCTGCCCTGTGGGGGAGCAGGTGTTGGCAGCCTGCCCAGTGCCAGGTGAGCCCGAGCACCAGTCAGTCTGTCACCCCCAGAAACACCGTTGTCGGTGATGCTCACTTTATTATGACTCCGCTTGTTGTCTATTAGTGAAATACAGGAGAAAGTTTTATTGTGAGCCCACTAGGGGAATTGGAGGTCTGAAGCTCTGTTAATGACCCGCTCTCAGTTGCCTTCCTGATGCTGTAAGCTGGGCGGTGGCTGGGGAGACAGGCCTGAGACCGCCGCGGCCCCGAGAGGGTCTGGTTCTGAACCAAGAGTCTCGCTTCTAACTACCCTTCTTTCTTCTTCCAGGGTTATACATAAACTTCCGTCACCTTCACAAACAACGCAGGCGGCGGTATGGGCACAAAAAGAAAAAGATCCACTAACAAGACAGCTCCAGATGACTTTTTGCCAGTTTGAGCCTAATCTGTAATTCTTACGGTTTACCTTCTTGTACTGATGTAAGTTTTTTTAACGTTCAGTGAGGCTGTCTTCTTTTTGCCTCGGGAACATTCCTGAATTGACGGTATTACCTTAGCATAGTCCCTGCATGCCACGGAGTCCTTATAGCTGATGGCACCTTCGTTCTTCGTACTTGTTAGCGACAGACGCAGCGGCAGAAGGCTCAGCCCAGCCCACCCACACCGTGAGTCATTGCGCTCTGCCCAAATCCTTATCCTGCCAGGTACAGGCCAGTCTGACAATTGAGGTTTGTTCTTTCCAGCTTTTGTTTATGGGGAGAGAAAAAAAAAAAAAGATTATATTGCTTTATCGGAGGTCGCGAGTGACTCAGACAGACCCTGAAACGTTCTGTACTCAGCTGGTTATTTGGTAAATGGCGTGGTATGGATGTTTTGAAAATGAAGGTACTTAGTCACAGATGAAGCATTTCCGAGGCTGAGTGGGGCTAGGGAAGACGCATCATCCGCGATATCCTTTGGCCTTTTGGAATGTCAGTGCTCACCCATGCAGGCACTGGCAGCACTGAAGAGTCTCAGAGAGACAGGTCAGGGCCAGGGGTGCAGGATCGCTCATCCCTGGCGTCATCAGCAGCATCCTCACACTAGTTAGCACGTGATACTGTTCAGAAGACCAGGAGAGACCACTTCCTTGGTACCTGTCCCAGCAAGTGCTGGGACTTTGTCTTTGAACAGAACTCAAGGGCTGCTTGGATCCTGTCTCCATCTCTGCAGGACAGTGCAGACAGAGAGGGTTTTGGCTAGAGCCAGCGGCCAGCCAAGGTTCCTGGCAGGAAACCCACCCTAGGGGCACTGAAGAGAATCTAAACATTTTGAAACTTGGCCTTTAAGTTTCCTCTAATACATTCCAAGTAAACTAAGTAAAGTGTTAGAAGATGCCTACAAAATAATTTTAAGACATTGTAGCACTTCCCAAGGGGAGAGGAGACTCAGCAAGTGAAACTGTTTCTCGGAGCTGCTCTGAGGTGGGAATTTGGTTTGACCTATACACTTCTATTAGTGTAGACTGACTTATTTTGGGGGTGATTGTTCACTGCACTGAAAGATTTTTGCATGTCTGTAACTTCTGTCAACACTTGTTTGTATTAACATCTCACGTTCATTCAGCTGTAATTGGGCGGATCAGCTTTGCAGTAAAATTGCACTGCATCTGTGGCAGAATCTTGTATTTGTTGTGATTGTTATAAAACCATTCACTGCTGTCTGAGGAAGCAAAAGATTGTGCATTTCTATTAAATATTTCCAGTCAAAATCCTAACAACTGGTCCTAAGTTTATTAAGGTTTGTTGTGTAAACAGAATATTGTATAGCAATTAGGCATCCCGTGCGCGCCCCCCCCCCCCCCCTTTGGTTTTTTGGCTACACCTGGCAGTGCTCAGGAATTACTCCTGGCTCTGTTCAGGGATCACTCCTGATCCTTGGGGGGTTGGGGGACCATACGGGGTACTGGGGATTTAACCCTGGTCAGCTGAGTGAAAGGTAAGTGCCTTCCCTGCAGTTCATTGTGAAAAAATGGAGGCCGAAGCCTGTGGGAGTGAATACCGTAGGCGGCTTGCAGAGCAATATGGAGAAAATTGGGCCAGGCACTGGCTTGTTCTGTCATGGAGGAGGCTGGGAGCAGCCCCTGGACACAGCTGGGTGTGACTTAGAGCCGTTACGCTGGCACTTCCCTTAAGGAAAAAAGTCAGGAAATGTGGAACCGAGAGAGAGAGATGTGGAACCCACAGTGGGCTCAGGCCACGAGGCCACACGGGATGGGAACAGCGACTACACAAGGGTGTGGTCAGTGCGGCTGCTCAGGCTGGTGGGGCAGCAGGATGGCACTAGCCCGGGCAGGATGGCCACAGGAGCCATTGGTTCTCCAGAGAATATATCCACAGGAAATAAAATACTTTGTTTTCATTTTTTAAAAAGGAGAAACAGGAATCATTTATTACATAAATGGATGTTTTAAGGTTTCTTTCGCACGACATACTAAAAGCACCTCACGGTCCCCCCGAGTCTCTGCCCAGGTCCTCAGGCAGCTCTGGGCCTGTGCTCGCCAGCCCTGGGGTCGCTCATTCCAAAAACCAAAGCTTGCAGGTGGCTGTGGCTGAGAGGAGATTGTTGGAGGGGCCTGAGGGCCAGCTGGGGAGCTCCATGCCACCAGCCATGTCCTTCAGGCCTGTCACAGGAGCGCTTTGGGGTGTGAGAACTTGAAATCCCAGAAAACCCAAAGTCAGAGCCTGCGGTGAAGCAAGCCCCCTTGCTTCCCTTCTCGGATTAGCTGCAGTCACTCTGGGCTCGAGGTGGCAGGGAATGTCCCCGCCCTCTGTCAGCTTCACCTGGCTCCCAGGCACGTCACATCCTTTCCGCGCTGCTGCCCGAGAAGTCCGTGTGCAGCGGAGTGATGTTGTGGTCGTAGCGCACGTGGTCCGTGGAGCCGCTGCTGGCCAGCTTGAGCTGCTGGGCTGCGTGGGTGAGCTGGAAGGCGGCGTCGGGGTGCGCCGTGTCGGGCAGCAGCGTGCATTCCCGCTCCAGCATGTCCGCTACCCCCTTCAGCAGGTCCAGGAAGCCAAAAGCCAGCGCGGCCTTGCGCAGACGGTTCAGCTCCTGAAACGGGCAAAGGAGTCTCTGAGAGGTGCTCCTCCCCTGATTCCATCGGGCAGCGCCTCCCGCTCCACGGGGGCCAGAGAGAGGACCTCCTGGGAATCTTTACAGGGCCAGTCCCTGGGAACACTCCACATATCACTGCATTTGCCTCTCCTGGCATTATGGCGCCTCCTCACTGCCTGGGGTCTGCGGGAGGCCTGTGCCGAGCCTCAGGCTGGAGTCACAGTCTTCCTTCCACCCATGTGTAATGCTGTTGGGGATGAGCCCGTGGCTGGGCACTGAGGCAGTGGAGGGGCAGGGGGGGGCCAAGTGTCCGCCAGCAGCGAGCAGAGTGACCTAGAGCAGACACAGTCTCCGGTCTGCCCCAGTGCGGGCAGAGCCAGCGCGAGAGAACAGGCTCTGCCGCCGTCTGTGCGAGTGGGCCATAGGAGAGTTCAGAAAGGGCCAGAGTCCAGTTAGGGGGTGTGTGGGCCTGTGGGGAGTCGGGTGCCGCCTGGTGCTTTCCCACTGAACTCAGACTAAGGCTCTTCTTGATTTCACTGGCTTGCTGCAAGCACTTTAGAAGTGATGCTATCCTGGGACTGGAGATAGAGCCAATACACACACATTTTGTTTTATTTTGGGGTCATACCTGGTGATATTCAGGGCTAACTCCTGGCCCTGCACCCAGGAATCACTCCCCGCAGTGCTGAGGGATCATATGGGATGCGGGGATGGAACCTGATCAGGCAAGTGCCCTCCCCGCTGCACAACTGCTTGGGTCCTGAGCCAGTATTTTAAGATTAGAAAGTCAGGACACAGCTGACAACACGACATACTTAATTTAACTGCAGTCACTCAACTCAGCAGAAGGGTGGGAGAAAGCCTTCGTTGGACAGCAGTGCAAGAAAGTTCTGTTCAATCACCGTAGCAAGGAAAGATATGGCCAGGAATGGACTGGGTATCACATGAAGGCAGGGACAGAAGCGTGTGCTATTGGGGAGTAGTGCCATAATGGAGGAGGTTTTTTCCCCCTCCTTTGCTTTTGGGGTCAGACCTGCTTAGGACTTACTCCTGGCTCTGTGCTCAGGAATCACTACTGGTGGGATCAGGAGACGATGTAGGTGCTGGGGTTGAGCCTGGGTCTGTCATATGCAAGGCAAATGCCTCCTATCTGTAGGATGGCTTCAGCCTGGAGCAGGGTTATAAGGGGACAGTGATAGGAGACATTCAGGGCCATGGCCCATGTCTTCTTTGAGCTCTTCCCTCAGCCACTAAGCAGCACCAATACAGAACAACCCTTCCACGCAAACCGGACCACTTCGACATGGCAGTTCTGGGGGAATTTAGGACAGTGTGGCTATTCACTAAGACTTGGATCACATAGACCATACATGGGCATACAGACCATACATTTCTCCCCCCCTTCCTTTTTTTTTTTTTTTTTTGTAGATAATTGTTACTGAAACTCAAGAAAGATGTGAAGGGAGGGAAAACGAAACGTGTTCGAGAGAGAACACAGGCTTCTCCACAGTGGAAATAGGCGAGCTAGGAAACAGACCAGCTAGATATGTGTTCAAGGGAGAACATGGGTTTAAAGAGCGAGTCACTGAACACACATTTCTAGTCCCTATCAGTTTCTCTGGTGCCACAAGGCTGTTTGCGGAACCATTTATTTTTGGTACACACGTTAGGGCCCACCCTTTTCCATATAATACTGAATCTCACCTTATAGAATGTTTGTGTTTTTTCAGGTAGTTTTCTTGCATTTCTTAAAATCTTCTGTACATCAGTCTATAAGAGGGTAGAAAGAAGTCGGCATTAGAATTCCACTGTCAAAAAGGGGTAAGAACACAGAAGAATGGCTCTGCATGCTTCAAGAAATTAAAATGGGAACAGCTTTGGGTCAGATGAAGCTCCCTTCTGAATTAGTGTCACAGTTCAACACTGTTGTAAAGTACCTTCCTCCTGCAAGATTCCTGATGATAAATCCCTAGGGACAGAAATACATATGTCACTCAGAAAAATCTACAGCCTGCCAGCTGCTCTCTGACACAGGAGGCCAAGGTCATTCAATGGAGAAAGATTAGTTTCATCAACAAATACTGAAGTTAAGTTTAATCTTTATCTTACACCAGATCCAATTCACCCAAAGTGGGTCAGTCATCTAAAAGAATTCTGAAATGTTCACATTTTCCAAAGAAAATAGAGGCTGATCTTCATGATACTGGGTTCAGCAACTTGTTTTGTTTTTGGGCCACACCTGGCAGTGCTCAGGGGTTACTCTTGCTCTGCACTCAGGGAGCACTCTTGGGCTCAGGGGACCATATGGATGCTGGGAACTGAACCTGGGTTGGCTGCATGTAAGGCAAGTGCCCTCTCTGGTGTACTATGTAACGGTATATAACTTCGCAATTTCTTAGTAAGAGCACTAAACACTAAAAAAATAGTGGTTTCTTCTAATAAGAAACCTAGTTAATGAGCCAAGGGCATGAATAAATATTTCTTCAAATAACATACACAAATGGCCAATAAGCACATGAGAAAATACCCAAGGTAACAAGAATTTAGAGAAACGCAAATCAAAACAACAGAGGCATAACAACATACCATATGGCACTAGAATGGCAATTGGAAAAACAACAGATCAAGGATGTGAGATACTGAGAACTCAGAGAAAAATGATTCTTTATACGGTGCTGGTAGAAATGTAAAAATGATGTGGTCACTCGAAATACTCTTTGGCAATAGTTACCACAATAAAAGTAAGGAGCCAGAGCAATACAAAAAGAAAGAACAATTCAGGGGCTAGAGCGATAGCACAGTGGGTAGGGCGTTTGCCTCACATGCAGCCAACCAGGGTTTGATTCCCAGCATCCCATATGGTCCCCCAAGCATGGCCAGGAGTAATTACTGAATGCAGAGCCAGGAGTAATCCCTGAGCATCGCTGGGTGTGACGCAAACGAGAAAAAAAAAAGAATAATTCAGCTATCACTAGATGTAAAGATGCCTGTGAAGGCAGGGGTGAGGCGTGGCTGGAGAGGAGAAGCCAGCTTCCGCAGAGGCCTCTGTCTTCTCCAGGGCCTACATGGATCTTGCTCTCCACCTGGGGGCTTAGGAGAGACCTGCCGCAGAAGCAAGCTCTGCTGCCTGGGCTCTGAGTTCCCCCTCACTGGCTAGCTTGGACTAAATCACTGGAGGAGAAAAGGACAAAGTGCTCAAAGAAGAGAAAAAAAGCTCAAGATTTTTTGTTGTTTTCAGTTAGCAACAACTGTGCCTCGGATAAACCTCACTGGCTACGGTACTGCCACTGCGCAAAGCTGAGATTATTTTTCCAGAATAGGTATAAAGTCTTTGTCAGTGAGAGGAAATGTCACCGTGTCCCTTCCTAACAGCAGTCTGTCTTGGTCATATCAGTCTTAGTTCCCAGTGAAAGAGGTTCTGAGAATCCCAATGTGATGCCAAGGCTGAGGTCTGTTGTAGTGATGGAAAAAACAATCACGAGATTGTAATATCGTTCTCAAAATTGCACTAAAGAGAACACCCAGTACGTTTTTCAAACCTTACCATAAAACCCACTGCCAGGGGAAGGGGAGTCTGCCAGGAATGACATAACTCCTTTCTTTTGTCAGAGAAGAAAAGCCATAAACCCAACACGTTGTTTTGACCTTGGGAGCTTGAGGCTCAGAGCCAAACTGCTCAAATACAATTTCCATTTGGCCTTGGGTTCCTGGTACAATCGTGTCCCCATTTTTTTTTTTTTTTTTAGTATTGCTCTTAAATTCTGTACAAAACGGATTTGTTATAAATATGCCACTCTTACCCTAGGCTACAGTCAGGTACCTTTTGGAAATAAGGAAAAACGTTAGAAGCAAATGAATTACTAAATATCAAAGAAAAGGAAAATAAAATCAAATGCCCTCCTACAGTCAAGACTGTCTCCCCTTGACTCCAGTGGAAAATGCCAGGAAGAATAAGTCTTACCTGCAGGCCACTGGGTTTGATCCAGACAGTGACATTCTGGGCATAGCTTCGTTTGTTTTGGGGCTGCAGGGGGAACGGGCTCTTACTGTCATCGTCACCATATGGATTTTCTTTAGCATCTTAAGAAAAACAAATACATATATATTATATACTATATACACATACATGTTATTGAATCACCGTGAGAAACAGTTACAAAGCTTTGATGTTTGAGTTTCAGTCATACAATGGTCAAACACCCGTCCCTCCACCTGTGTCCCCAGTATACCTTCCCCCCTTCAATCTTCCCCCTGCCTCTATGTCATACAGTTTCCCCCATACTCTCTCTAATTTTGGGCATTGTGGTTTGCAATACAGATACTGAGAGGTTATCACATTTGGCCCTTTATCTACTTTCAGCACATATCTTCCCTCCCGAATGATCCCTTCAACCATCATTGACTTGGTGATCCCTTCTCTATTCCAGCTGCCTTCTCCCCCAGCTCATGAGACAGGCTTCCAACTATGGGGCAGTATTTCTGGCCCTTGTATGTCAGTCTCATGTTATTTTATATTCCACAAATGAGTGCTCTCATTCTCTGTCCCTCTCTCTGACTCATTCCACTTAGTGATACTCTCCATGTCCATCCACTTATAAGCAAATTTCATGACTTCATCTCTTCTAACAGTTGCATAGTATTCCATTGTGTAGATAATACCAGTTCCTTTAACCAGTCATCTGTTCTCGGGCACTTGGGTTGTTTCCAGATTCTGGCTATTGTGAACAGTGCTGCAATGAACATATAGGTGCTGATGTCATTTCTACTGTGCTTTTTTGCACCCTTGTGATATATTCCCAGAAGTGGTACTGCGGGGTCATATGGAAGCTCAGTTTCTAGTTTTTGAAGAAATGCCTGTATGGAAAACAAATATTCTTCTTTTTTTTTCTTTTTGCATCACACCCGGCAATGCACAGGGGTTACACCTGGCTCTGCACTCAGGAATTACTCCTGGTGGTGCCTAGGGGACCATATGGGATGCTGGGAATTGAACAGGGGTCAGCCACATGCAAGGCAAACGCCCTACTCGCTGTGCTATCCAGCCCTGGAAAACAAATATTCTTGAAGTGACATCTGGTGACACAATCACATCATCTTCCTCCAACTTTTAAACCCTTTGATGGCCCTAATTAACAAAGTACATTAAACTCAGTCCCATTGGGAAACTTGTCAGTCCGGATGGAGGGACATGAACAGTTAAGTTTGACCCATGAAAGGAAAAACTGGGGAGACAGAGAGCACCCCTGAGGTTCTGGGGCTGCTGCTGGCTCTCTGCTCAGGACTTGCTCCTGGGGGTGCTCAGTGGACCGTGCAGTGCTGGGGACAGAGCTGGGGTTGGCCAGGTACAGGAAAGGCAAGCCCCTTAACCCCGATGTCCTCTCCCCGGCCCGGTCTAATGCTTCTAACACTCATTTACTTATCTGCTCTAAATAATAGCGAGGAAAAATAGTATTTATGTATTTAAAACTACACACACATATGTCTGCATCTAGCAGAGCTGTACAGCCCTCTCAGATGGGCTTTCTGTCATGATGGAATTCTGCACTGAGCCAGTGCGGCAGCCACAGGCTTGCACGGTCACCAAACACTGATGTGGCGAGTGTGACTCAGAGCTCCGCTTCATTTTACTTTTTAATTTCAATGGCTTCGTGTGGCTTGTGGCCATGGATTAGATGGCTTAGGTCTAGAGACGGGAATGACCAAAAATGAAAAATCAGACACAATCTAATTAAGAGGGCAAAGGAAGCAGGGTTTGGTGACATACCTTCTCTTAGTGGCTTTCTATTTAACCTCTGAGACTTTGTCTGAGTTACTCCCCCTCCCCCAATTTTTACTGAGGCACCGTGACTTAAAACACCATTAATGACTGAGTTTCACGCATCGCAGTTCTAACACATACCCAGCACCAGAAGGGCCTCTCCCACCCATCCCACAGATGGTTTAACATGTGAATAAAACAAGTTTCTGCTTTTATACCTATTTCTGAAGCCAGTGAAACTGCCAGAAAATTACAAAGCACATGTCACATCTAATACCTCATTTTATCTTCATTATTACCACTTTTAGGTCTGGGCGTCAGAAAAGAATTTTCCTATGATTTCAAGAATTTAAGCTCCTTCCTAAATGATCCTGATGAAACCGAGAACTGGCCCAGTTTACCTGAACCAGAAGCTCTCTAGCCCTGGTTTGGCCCTTGGGGCCATGTCTCACACTATCTTCATCTCCTACCTCAGTGTCCCTCCCTCCTCTCCTCTCCAAGACATGACCGGCCCCGCTTTGCAGGCACAGCGCCGTGGAAATGTGTCATCTGGTAAAGCTGTTAGTCAGGCCCAATTGCCATCGTTCCCTCCCACACCACAGGCGGATTTTCCTTGCCACCGTCCATGCTGCTGCTCCTGCCAGCCGTGCTGACTCCCCCATTCATCTAGTCTCGATGGCTCACATGGCCATTCATTCATCATCTGCAGCAACGCTGCACTATCCACACTCACTGTGCCATAAACTGTGGCAAGAAGATGCGGTTTTTTTGGCTTCAGGGAACTTTATGAATAAAGAATATTTATAAAATTCCATGTACATGCTGCCCTACATACATGATCTATCTCCTTAAGAGCAGCCCCAGATGATCAGATATTATTAGTTTCTGTAAAGATGCGTAAACTGGGGCCACAGAAGGCATAGGCTGACCCTGACTTGATTCCTTGCATGCCCCCTTGAGCCCCGCCAGGAGTGACCCAGGTGAGCACCGAGCCAAGAGGAAGCCCTGAGCACTGCCAGGCGTGGCCCCCAAATTAAAATCAAAAGCGACTATACAAGAAGATGAGTAACTGAGGCCTAGGGAGGTGGGACTTGGACAGGTTTCATGCGGACTCTTCCTGGAGCAGTGTCAGAGCCAAAGTCTCCCACCACTGAGCACTGAGCCCCCGCTCAACCTTCCCTGCCTGCCAGGCCCACATCCTACTCACTTCCAGAAGCTGTCCCAGAGTCTTTTGGCTGAGTGATTTCTCTAGACCCTACATCTAAAAGACTCAGCATCAGCACCAAACGCTGCACCATGCAGCCACAGCCTACTTTTTTAGAGCCTATATGTGGAAAATGGCTTTTAATAGAAAGTAGTCAATTATGGAAAAAAAAAAAAACCCAGCAAAACTTTTACCAATAAGACTGACACTCTTAATTTCTTCTTCCTGTTCCTGAAGGAGGAAAATAAAAGTATTTGTGTTCCCTGGGATAAAGAACACGAATTAGCAGCCAGAAAATGCACCAAGCGCTCTGGATTGAAAAAACCAATAATGAGGTTCATTCTTCTGAGAACTCAGGGCATGAGTATGAACAGGAGGCTTGGAGTGCAGAGAAAAGGCCAGCGCGGGGCAAAGCCAGTGTCTGCTGGTCACCTCAACATTAGACTCTTAGGAGCCGGGAGTGCTGGAATACGAGGCTGCATCCTCTCAGGGAAACCAGAACTCGACATCGAGATCAATGATCCGCTGAGCTTAAGAGAGGCAGTGAAGACACTTCCTGATACACAAGCTTTAACATCACACAACACCAGGTAGCCTTTTCTCGGGAATTTTCAGAAACAGGAAGTGCATGGGAAAGGGATGAAGAAAGACTCTGGGTGGTAGCCAGGCAACAGGCGAACAGAAAAAGCCAGGCAACAGAAAAACAAGCAACAAAAATCAAAATGGAGGACTGGGTACGTGAAAAATAGCAGTGATAGTGAGGCTGGAGAGAGAGCACAGGGGGTAGGGTGCTTGTCTTGCAGGTGGCCTATCAGGGTTCCATCCTGGCACCCCATATGGTTCCTGAGCACCACCAGGAATGATTCCTGAGCACAAAGCTAGGAGTAACCCCTGAGCACCACTGGGTATGACCCCAAAACAAAACATCTTCTGAATTAGTTGGTCCACTCCTACCAATGTGGAAAATTTACCTGATTACACGAGTGTTCATGGCAGTTACACTAAAAACCCTGGTACACCTGGCACCAGAGATGGTACAGGGAGTGAGGCAGCGGCCCTGGTTTGGATCAGTGGTGCCACATATGGTTCCCCCAGGACCGTCAGGAGTCACTGAACAGAGCCAAGGAGAGTCCCCAGCACCACCAGGTATGGCCTGGACCCTACTCTACCCTCCCCTAAATAGCCTTCTTTATAGATGAATGGTTTTAAAAAATGTAGCACAATAGTGGGCTGGAGTGATAGCACAGCAGGTAGGGCGTTTGCCTTGAATGCGGCTGACTCAGCCCACCTGGGTTCAATTCCTCTGCCCCTCTCGGAGAGCCTGGCAAACTACCAAGAGTATCTTGCCCACACGGCGAAGCCTGGTAAGCTACCCATGGCGTATTCAATATGCCAAACAGAGTAAGAAGTCTCACAATGGAGATGTTACTGGGCCCGCTCGAGCAAATCGATGAACAACGGGAATACAGTACAGTACAGCACAATAACTGGGTAGCAGGGGCTGTAAATAACCTTTACTCATTTAACAAGGACCAGTCTACCCAAGAAGATGACCAAAAAGAATAGGAAATAACGTGATTCTGGGGTGAGAAGGTACAGGTATCAGTGGTGAGAAAACTAAGCAGTCATTCCTGAAACGTTAAAAAATACCAAAAATGGGGCTGGAGTGATAGCACAGCGGGTAGGACATTTGCCTTGTGGCCGACCTGGGTTTGATTCCCAGCATCCCATATGGTCCCCTGAGCACTGCCAGGAATAATTCCTGAGTGTATGAACTGGGAGTAACCCCTGTGCATCGCCAGGTATGACACCCTCCCAAAAAAAAAAAGAAAAATAAAAAAATAGCTATATGCTTGATTATTTAGAAGGGTAGTATAAACAACAAAGGAAAAAAATTAAGAGTTAAAATTGCTGCTTCTAGAAAAATTAATATAGGGAGGTATAAACAACAGTAGAATTTTACATGCTTTGCTTAATCAAAAAAATAGCAGCATGTACTATGTTTCAGCTGTGTGTCACTTTACATATGGTCCCTCAATACATTCTCTCAGAACTCCCTAAGACAGATTTTTTATCAACTATTACGCATTACAAAGAGGCTTATTTTTCTTTATTTCCTTTGTGGGGGAACGCCACACCAGCGGTGCAAAGGGATCACTCCTGGGGGAACTTAGGAGACAATCTGGAGTGCCAAGGATTGAACATGGGCTGGCCACATGCAAGGCAAATGCCCTCCCCGCTGCACTGTCACTCTAGCCCCTTCGTAAAAAGCATTAAGTAGGGCACTCAAGGCTTTGTCAACCTCTGAGAATTAAATAAGATAATTACTGGATTGGGCTGGAGTGACAGCACAGCGGGTAGGGCATTTGCCTTGCACGCAGCCAACATGGCTGACCCGAGTTTGATTCCTCCGCCCCTCTCGGAGAGCCCGGCAAGCTACCGAGAGTATCTCGCCCACACGGCAAAGCCTGGCAAGCTCCCCAGGACGTATTCGATATGCCAAACACAGTAACAACAGTCTCACAATGGAGACGTTACTAGGCCCGCTCGAGCAAATCGATGAACAACGGGAGGACAGGGTCTGGAGTAATAGTACAGCAAGTAGGGCGCTTGCCTTGCATGTGGCCGACCTGGGTTCTATCCCCAGCATCCCATATGATCCCCTGAGCACCACCAGGTATGACCCAAAAAGCAAAAAAAAAAAAAAAAGAAAAGAAAAGAAAAGAAAAGGAAAGAACAACGGGAGGACAATGCAGTGCAATTACTGGATTGTGTTTTGACAGTGCCTGGCACAAAGTCAAGGTCAGTGAAATGTTATTTTCCTTACTTCAAAGCAGAACAGACCTAGCGGGATGAAGGAGCATGACCATGAGGCAGTGCAGAGTGGCCGGTCTGAGTGGAGTGGAGTGCCATGTGCGGACCGCGCTTTGCAGAGGGGAGGAGCTGAGTGCTGGTGTGGGAGTTAGGACACGAGTTGGTGGCAGAGGGCTACACAGCTGGAGATGGTTAAGATTCAGTCGTTTCCTGGAGTGGGCTGGACAGTGCATCCGCTTTGGTGGGCAATAGTGATACTCTATCTTGAATTAGAATTGCGGTGTTGGAATTTTTGCTTTTGTTTCTGACATTTGTTTTTGTCCTTGGAGTTTTGGGGTCACAACCAGGAGTGCTCAGGGGCTGTTCCTGGCTCTGTACTCAGCAGTGATTCCTGGTGGTGCTCAGGGAACCGTATGTGGCACCAGGGATCAAACCTGGGGCAGGTTTCATGGAAAGCCAGCACCTTAACCCCTGTGCTATTTTTCCAGCCCTGATGCTCATTTTATTTTTTGCTTAAATGGTTCTTTTAAATTAGTTTTTCCTTTTAAAGGTGCTGTGATTTGCAAAGCAGATGCCAAATCCCTGTACTGTCTCTGGCCCCCACTGGTTCTAGATCTTAAACATCTTTGCACCGAGCCCACCCTCCACCGCTGTCCTTGTCCTGCACTGTCACTGCCCTAGGATGGTCATCACAGAGCTCTCACTACACAATGCCCTCAACTCTGGATCCACCTTTGTTTTGTTTTGTTTTGGGGTCATACCCAGTGGTGCTTAAGAGTTAGTCCTGATTCTGCCCTCAGGAATTATTTCTGGAAGACTCGGGGGACCGTTACGGGATGCCAGGGATAGAACCCAGGTCAGCCACATGCAAGGCAAGTTATCCATAGTTGAGTTTAATGCCTACAGTGTTCCAGCACCAATCCTAACATCGGTGTCAACTGAAATGTTGCTTTCCCCCAGGCTGTAAAGAGTTGAAGTGTCAAATGCCCCTCAGTTTTCCCACATACAGACCTGTCATTCCCTGCATGACAGGTCCTGCAGACCTCAGCTGCATGGTCAGAGCCGCGTGGAACAGCAGAGAGAACACATGGAGAAAGAAAAATCTCATGTCCAACATACCTGAAATAGGACCCAACTGGGCCATTTTCCCCAGCCAGGGGAGAGGTTCTGGGCCAGGCTCAAAGAGAGACATCATGAGATTTGACTTCTTCTTGCTGTCCGCTTGGGAATAGAGCATCCCCTGCCACTCAGGACTGCAGGGAGAGAAGACGGGAGATGTGAACACCATGGAGCTGTCGGGGAGAGTGAGCGCAGCCCGTGTTTCCCCGTCAGCTGTCTAGCTTCTGCTTAGAAATCAGGCCATCGCTTTCACTGAAGTGGAACCCTGTGCTGAAAATGCATACAGCCGCCAACTGTTCCTGTCATTCTCCTAGCACATACATTATTGTTTACACAAAATCATGCAGCTCAAAAGCAATCTTGAAATTGAGAGGAAAAAAAATCCTACCAGGTCAGCAATTAATTGTAGGAACAGTGAGGAGGAATAAGAGCTGATTATCTGTAATTTTTCTTTTTTTTTTTGCTTTTTGGGTCACACCTGGTGATGCACAGGGGTTACTTCTGGCTTATGTGCTCAGGAATCACTCCTGGCAGTGCTCGGGGGACCATATAGGATGCTGGGAATTGAACCTGGGTCGACCACATCAAGGTAAACACCCTACCTGCTGTACTATCACTCCAGCCCAAGAGCTGATTATCTGTAAGTGAAACTTCTGAGCCACTGCCCGAGACATCCAGAGCAGCACCTACATAGAAGGTGCCTAGCAGAGGGCACAAGGGCACGGGCTGGGGTGTTGTATCTGGCAAGATGATGCCCAGTGGAAACTACAATCTAGGGCTGGAGAATCCAGCGGGGAGGGTGCTCACCTGGCATGGCACCCCACATATTCCCCCGGCAACTTGAGAAAGGGCAGCGGAGGATTTGGCCAAGTCTGAGACTGTCGGGAAGGGCCTCCCCAGAAGGTGGGCCCAGAGCAGGGTCGAGCTGGTAGGGTCCTGGCCCTGTCAGTGAGGGAGCATGGGGCCCTGAGGCACTCAGGAAGGCAGGGAGGCAGAACAGCAGTTTCTCCTGTCCCGTGTGCTGGGATCAGATGAGCTGACAGATGTCGGGCGGTTCCTAAGCTGTTCTCTGGCCCCAGCTTAGTTTTCATTGGGTTGCCCCTTCATTTGACAGGTGAGGAGTTAACAAATACTGCGTGAGATCTGATAGCAAGCTGGGAGCAATGCTCTAACACTGAGGTTCCCAAGTATTATTTGGCCTGCCCCTTCTTTTTCAGGGGGAAAAATAATCAGCTTCCCACCCTGGAAAACCACCTTCGAGTGAGCCAAGAGATGAACCTCCCAATGGGACCCATAACCGCCACCTTCTAGCGCCCCCTGGTGGGCGGGGAGGTCGCCTGCTTGGGAAACAGTTCAGCAGCCAGGGCTCTTGCATCTCAGTAAGCAGGTGCCTGAGAAAGGTACTGGACCCAAGTGATGCAGTAAAAGGTCACTCCGGTCATGCTCCAGGAGATGGTTTAAAGAGAAGTTTATGCGTTGGTGAAAGGTGGGAAGGGTAGGGCAGGGAGAGGAAAAAGGTGATAAGATCTTGTTCTTTTTCTAAATGTTTGGGCCATGCCTGGTGTATTGCTTGGGGACCACATGGGGTGCTGGGGATGGAACCTGGGCCAGTTGTGAGTAAGGCAAGCACCCTATCTGCTGTACTATTTCTCCAGCCCAGACGAAGACCGACTTCGGAAAGATCCAGGAAATACTTCGCTTTGTAAATGGAAGCCGGGGCTAGAGTGATAGCACAGCGAGTAGGGCATTTGCCTTGCACGCGGCCTACCCGGGTTCGATTCCCAGCATCCCTTATGGTCCTCTAAGCACCGTCAAGAGTAATTCCTGAGTTCAGAGCCAGGAGTAATCCCTGAGCATTGCCAGGTGTGACCCAAAAAGGAAAAAAAAAAAAATGGAACCCCCCCCCCCCCGCTTCCACTTTTTTCAAGCAAATGTGAACAGAAGCTCCTACCCTAACTGAACAATTGCCACCATTCCTTCCACTTTTAGGCTGCCATGAAGCAGGACACAGAAGTTGGGTATTTTGCCTGCAATCTGATTGGCGGAATTCTCATCTTCGTTGTCATCAGTTATGCCAGTGCCCACCTCATCGCCCTCTGTGGAAAGAAAACAAATCAGACTGAGCTCAGTGGCACAAAACCCAAGCCCCTGTCATACTCCTGCTGCTCTGGTCTTGGAATGAAGTTATATAGAGTTTCAAAGGAGCGTCATGATTAAGTATGAAAAATTCAAATTCTGTCTTCCAAGTTCAAGTAGAAACCAATTTTCAAATTTTACAAATTTTATTTATACAAAATATCCAGAATATAGAGACAGAGAGGATCTCCGTGGTTACCTCAGCTGAGGGAGCTGGGGGCCTGGCTGGTCGGTGGTCAAAGGGTCTCTTTTTGGGGTGCTGAAACTCTGTAATGCTGGTTCACTTTTAAACTCAGTTGTAAAATAATACAATGATAAGGAATACATTTATAACTCTGTAAATATACTAAAAACCACTGAATTATACGCTAAATGGTAAAACATAGGGTGCATAAATTATAACTCAAAACTCATTTTCCACCACACAAAAATGCGGGTCTCCCAGTTTCTTTCCCTTCTTACTTCTTTTTTGGGGTGTGTGTGTTTAGGCCCCACCTGGTGATGCTCAGGAGTTACCTCTGGCTCTACGCTCAGGGATCACTCCTGGCAGACTCAGGGACCATATGGGATGCCAGGGATGGAACCCAGGTCTGCAGCGTGCCAGGCAAGCACCCTGCCCATTGTACTGCGGCTCCTGCCCCTGAGTCTTCCAGTTTTTACTGGGCTACTCTCTGTGGAGTCCAGGCGCCATCAAAATAGAGCTGAGACATCAAGAGTGTTCTCAATGCACAGTTCCAGGCAGCACCTGGGTGGGAGTTTAGAGGTAACGAGCAGCCCCTCCACATACCTGGTGAGAATCTCCTGCCCAGGCCTCCCATACTCTCTGCCACAGGCGACTCTTCCTGCGACGAGCTTCCTTGCCACTCAGTTTTGTTCAGTGTCTGATGTGCCAGCAGCGCAGCCCTTCTGCGCCCCCTCCGCCTCCTATTTCTCCCCTCTCCTCCACAGAAACTAGCCACTTCCTCCTTTCTTTTTTTTGGCCCACAACCAGTGGTGCCTGGGGACTGTCCCAGGCTCTATGGAAGTTACTGGAAGGACCAAGTGGTGCCAGAAATGAAACCAGAGCTGTCACAGGCCAAGCATGAGTTTCAGCCTCTGTCCACTGCAGGCAATTCACCTGAGCCTGCAGAATCCCTCCAGGACTGCAGGGCTTACGGAAAGCTGGCTGCTAGCAATATGAAAAACAACCAGGTAGCTAAAGCATAATAACCACAATACACTATGTGCAGCAGCATGTCAAAGAACTGCACATGGATGACTGGGGGTCAGGAAACTGAGCACTAGACAGAGGTAACTAGGAGTGATCTTGACCTGAGAAGCAGAGACCTGAATGGCTTCTTGAAAAACTAGTGAATAAAAAGCAGATGGAGGGCTGGAGAGATACGTCAGAGGTAGTAAGGCGCTTCCTTGCACATGCTTGAACCCAATTCCATTCAGTTGGGTCCTGGCACAGCATATGGTCCCCTGTGCACCCCCAGGAGTGACTAATGAGCACCGAACCAGATGTAACACCAACATACGCCTGGGTGAGTCCAAACCAAAGCCAAACAAAAAAATGAAAGGTAAATTTAGAATAGAGAAGTTGAAAGATCCAGAGATGAACATTCTCTAGAGCTGCTAGAACTGTGGGCCATGACTTATGATCCCCACAAGCATACTTCAGTGCGAGGCTTCATTCACCTGTCCATTGTGCGGCGATTGCTGAGTATTTACTACATGCTAACTACTAGTAGAACAAAAACAAATACAATCCTTTTCCTTTTCCTTTTGAAAACCTTTCTGGGTGCTGGAGTGAATAGGACAGTGGGCAGGGCTTTTGCCTTGCATGCGGATAGCCTGGGTTTGATCCCTGAGCACAGCGCTAGGAGTAACTCCTGAGCATTGCTGGATACGGCCCCAAACCAACCATCCAAACTAAAATGAAAACAACAAACAAACAAACACTGTCCTCCCGTTGTTCATCGATTTGCTCCATTTTGAGACTTGTTGTTACTGTGTTTGGCATATTGAATACGTCACGGGTAGTTTGCCAGGCTTTGCTGTGTGGGCGAGGTACTCTCAGTAGCTTGCTGGGCGGGCTCCCCGAGAGAGAGACTAAAATGAAACTAACATGAAAGCAACAAAAAGCCAAAAATGAAAAACCCTTCATGACTTCCACAGGAAACTCTCTGAGAACAACTCTGGCTTTCTCAGTATGTCTCCCGGGGATAAATGGAGTCCCGGCTGAGGAATAAAGCATGCTCTCATCTGAGGAGAAGGCACTTCTCTCCTTGGGCATTACGGGGTCAGGGGCTGCCCTGCTGGCATGATGCCGAGTCCCGTCTCCAGCATGGCACGCAGGCTGCACACCATCCTGCAGCACTGTGATCCCCAGAGCTGAAGCTAAGCACGTGATCTCTAGACACCCCAGCCAAGTGTGGAGGCCCCTGCCCAGCCATCGCAGTGGCAATGATGACGGCAGGGGAGGGAAACAAGACTTAACATGGCAACACGCAATAAATGTGTGCTAGAATGCTTCCGACTGTGTCAAGTTGGATAAGCTTCTGCGTATTAGGCTACACTTCATTTAAAATCATCCATCCAGGAAGATCCAGAGACAGCCCAGTGGGAATCTTTGCAGGAAAGAGGTCCGGGTTCAGTCCCCCGCATTATTTGTCTCAAGCACCGTTGGGAGTCCCGCGGAGCACCGAGCTGGAACTAGAACTGAGTGGTGCCCCCAAACGAAACAAAAATCTGTCCAATAACTTCCTTCTCCCCTAACTCTGAAAAATGAATTATACGAGCATCTAGTAATTCAGAAAACTTTAGATAATAAGGTCTCCTCACATGTGTCGGTGGGACAGCAAAGGGCTCACCTTTGTTAAGTGCTATCGGCAGGACCAGATGTCTGGACAGAACTGGGGGACTTGAAATATCAGCGACATCAATGAATCCCACTATTTCCAAATCTGAAAGAAATGAATCAGCAGAGAATGAATTTATAATTGAGAAAGCTGTTTGAGAGTTCACAAACATGTTTATGTAAAAATCTTCACGTGAGGAATTCAAATATGAAGACTAGGAAGGTTACTGGAAATTTCTCTGTCCAACATTAATATCTGCTTCATAAGTATCTCTAGAAATAACAGTAATTGCCTGTTTTTTAGCTGGGGGGTGTGGGGGTGTCACACCCAGCTGTGCTCAGGGATCACTCCTGATAGGTTTTGGGGGCTCTGGTGTTGCTGGAATAAGAACCTGGGACAACTGCATGCAAAGCAGTGCCCTACCTGCTGTGTCATCTCTCTGGTCCCCCAATAGTTGTATTTTAATGAATTTAATTTATATGACAAGCCAGGCTTGAGGCTGGGTCTGTCAGTCACAGGCACTCACGCCACAAGAGGGCGCTGTAATCCAACACTTCCACAGCGGCTCCTAAGAGCAGTCCTCGCAGGGTTAAGTTTCTTCATTAACTTTCTGTGAGGAAGAAATACATTCTCTACAAAACCAAGGTAGGAACAGTCTAGGTATGACAATTGTTTCCTTGATTTGTAGACGCTATATTAAAGACCAAATTGCAGAAAACAACAACAAAAAATTGTCATACAACGTGCTTTTTGGGGGGCCTCTATAGCTGTGATCTGGGCGCCCACGAGGCCTCTTCAGTGACACTCAACTCAGCTGTGTGAGCCTGACTCTCAGTGCTCCATCCCAGCAATGCTGAGGGGCCACAAGGGGCCACATGGTGCCAGGAATAAAACTTAGGGCTTTGTGCATGCAAGGTCTGTGCTCCAGCCTATCTCCCAAGTCTAAACCAAAGCATTTCTTAAAAGGCTTTCTTGGAGCCAGAGAGGTAGTGCAGTGGGTAGGGAGTTTGCCTTGCACACAGCTGACTGGGGACCAGAATCCCATATGGTCCACTGAGCATCGCCAGGAGTGACCCCTGAGCACAGAGCCGTGAGTAAACATTGATCATCCGGGCCAGAGCGATAGTACAGCAGGGAGAGCATTTGCCTTGCACGTGGCCGACCCAGGTTCGGTCCCCGGCATCCCATACCGTCTTCTAAGCACCGCCAGGAGTGATTCCTGAGTGCAGAGCTAGGAGTAACCCCCGTGCATTGCCGGGTGTGACCCAAAAAGCCAAAACCAAAACAAAACCTAACCAAAACAAAAACACCATGAGCATTGCCAGTGTGGTCCCAAAACAAAAATACCTCCCACTTCGATTATATAAATAGTATAAAATCCTGGAGCCTAAAAATACACTAAAAATGGTAAAGAAAAATATAGTCACCATTAAAGGAAACTTCTATTAATATCTTATTTCTTTTTAATTTTTCTGGATATAAACATGCCCATATTTTCAGGACCACGGTGAGCACACGGCACCTCTGACTCGGCCCTGCCCCTCTAAAGATCTGCTGTTATGGGTTGCTGAGGGGACAGGGAAGGGCCCTGTTGGGAAGTGCTGGCACTCGGTGGTGGCTGTGGTGTGAGAATGCTGGACCCCTCAGCCATGTAAGTCCTGCAGGTGCTGGAGGCTGAGTTTGGTTCCCAGTAGTCCTGTATCCAGACTTGGTGGTTCTAGCATCACGCTGCTGGGCCTGAATGCAGGACAGTCGGGCCTACACACACACACAGACACATACACACAGATACACAGACACACACACACACACACACTGCAAACTGCTTGGAAGCCAAAACAGATAAATAGAAAAGCAACATCAACAATCATATTCTTTACATTAAAAGAAATCTTGACTTGAAAAATTTTAAACATTTGTGCTCATAACCACATGAGTTATGATTGCTTAGGGCCCGACTATCGAGAGATAGTCCAGAGGTTAAGATGCTTGTGTGTCATGTGGCTGACTCTGGTGTGACCCCCAGCACGACTAGTCCCCCTTGCACTGCCAGGAGTGATTCCTGAGCACAGAGCCAGGAGTAAGCCCTGAGCATTGCTGAGTGTGGTGCAAAAACAAAAACAGTAAGAAAGCTTCAGTATTTTGTATTTTGTCTGTCTGGTCAGCTGTCGCGCAGTGGAAAGGAGGACACCTTATTCCTACACCGCTGGGGGGTAAAGCCACGAAAGCACAGTCTTCCCTAAATATGTCTGCTGCATATTTAGGAGGCAATGGTGAAGGAGGTAAAGGTATGTGCGACCAGGAAGTAAAGGCATGTACCCTGCAGATGCTGACCCTAGTCCAACCCCCAGCGCCAACCACAAGCCATCAGCACTGAAGCCTCGGGCCATGTACTGAGCATAGCACCATTTGCAGGGGCTCTGCGGCCTCCTGAGCTAAGGAGACACCTCTCTCTCCCGCCTCTAAGTATCTATCCATGAGCTAAATTAACATTTACTGTGCATTTAATTTTACCACTAATTGCTGGAACCATCACCCACTGACATCTACAAAGCATTAGGCTGAATTTACAATTCTTCCTTCCCTCCTGGATAGAGAAAAGTAAAAGAGAGTCAGAAAAAAAGTCATCAGGAGGGCTAAGAAGTTTTTAGAAGGAGGATAAGTTGGTAGAGGGTGTGGGCTGGAACCTGATCATCAATAGTATTGGGAATCTCGGTGTCTAAAGAGGGAGGGAGGGAGGGAGGGAGGGAGGGAGGGAAGGAAGGAAGGAAGGAAGGAAGGAAGGAAGGAAGGAAGGAAGGAAGGACCTTTTGAAAGTTACCTGTGTTGATGACTTTAGGGATGGGGTCAATCTCCTCATCAACAACAAAAGGCTCGGGCCTGGGGAAGACCTGCACGTCGGCAGTGAGGTGGCCACACTTGAGAACGGCGTGGAAAGGCGTGTACGCCAGATCGATCAGCTTTCTGGAATACCACGACAAACGGTGATGGGCAGAATTCATCAGATATAAAAATGTAATTTTTCCCCCCAAGATGCCAAGTTTATTTTCCCTTCAAGCTGACACCAGACTAAGATAGAGTCAGCTGTGAAATGGAGCTGAACTCATTTCTGGGGAGGGCATTTCAATTCTGAAACGCCCCGCAGCAAGGTGATCTTTAAAATTGCTGAGTCAAGGTAAGGAAGTCAATACCCACCGACACTAGAGGTGTATTCGTGTTTGCTTTAAAAGGGAATGAACTTTGGAAAAATCACTAACACAATGACTGGATCTGAAAATGCGCACGGGGGAAATGAAATGTCACGATAAGAAATATTCAAGTGGATATTACTTTTCAAATTTCGATACTGAGTTGTAAGGAAGACCAAGAAAGCCCTAAGCATGTACTCACCCAAACATGGACTGCACGTTTTTCAAGCACAAGGGGCCGTCAATAGTAAAAATCTGCCCTTCGCCATTGTTTAAATCGATGAGTCGTTCAAGGCAGTCCAAGGAATCAGTGCTCTGGAGCTATAAAGCAAAATGGATGACTTGATCCAAGTGGCAAAAACAACAGTTTATAATCGATAGACACAGGTCACACCCTTCACAATAACATGGGCAATTACTGTAAGGGAGGAATTAAAATAAAATTTGTTTATGGGCAATACTTGGCAATGCTCAGGGGTCACTTCTGGGCTTTGTTCTCAAGAATCACTCCTAGCAGGTTTGGGGTACTGTATGGGGTGGCCGGGGATCAGACCCAGGTCACCTGTGCGTAAGGTCAGTGCGCCTTACCACTGTACTAAGGCTCCAGTTCCCAGAATATTTTTTTAAATATGAGAAGAAAATAGGCATGACCTTTTGATTCAAGGTTACAGGAAGGGACATTTTGTAAAATGACACCATGTAAAATGAAATGACCCATTTCATTCAGAAGTAGTTGTGTTTTCCCCACAAATGGTTTCTAACTTTTTTTGTTAAGAATCATCATTACCAACATTTTATAGAAGAAAAACTGAAATGAAGAAAAGTCTAAAAAATATTTTCCCGGGGCCAGAGCGATAGCACAGCAGGTAGGGCGTCTGCCTTGCCTGTGGCTGACCAAGGTTCAATCCTCGGCATTCCATATGGTCCCCCAGAACCGCCAAGAGTAATAATTCCTGAGTGAAGAGCCCGGAGTATCCCCGGAGCATCGCTGGATGTGACCAACCCAAAAAGAAAAAAAAAAAATTTCCCAATTAGATGGGAAAACTAGGAAGCAGATTAAAAAAAAAAAACATACAGCAGAGTAATATGAAACTACCAAATCAAAGCATAAATCCACAAATATTTCTTGGAGAATGGACTTAGGAACGTGAGGTGGGGCTGGAGCAATAGCACAGCGGGTAGGGCGTTTGCCTTGCATGCAGCTGACCTGGATTCAATCCCCAGGATCCTGTATTGTCCCCTGAGCACCGCCAGGAGTGATTCCTGAGTGCAGAGCCAGGAGTAATCCCTGAACATCACCGGGTGTGATCCAAAAAGCCAAAACAAAGAATTCATGAGGGAAATACTTAATGATCCCCACCCCTAAAATTTCCAATCTCTATTATCTGAAGGTCCCTGTGGGAAGCAGATGAACAACAACTCCAGTTTTCAGGCTCTCCAAAGGACCAGTACACTAACCCTTTAAAGAACCTGAGACCAATTTTTCAAGTATCATTATAGAGACAAACACTGGCTGAAACCAGCAGAGGCCAGTGAGACAGCGAAGCAACTGAGTATTCATGAGGTATAGTAAAAACTGGACAAAGTCCTCAAGTGTATCTAACTGAAAAGGCTTAGTAAAAAGCACTACCTCTTCCAAATTTGCCATGCACATGATGTATAACTTAGATGGAAAAGGAAAAGGAAGCGGAAATCTGCTATTCTCACTTCTCTGACTGTGGGTCGCGAGAGAATGCCTCAGTGACCCTCTCCCGATGCCCAGGCAGCCGTCAGTCACCAGGACAACCTGTTGGTGAAAGATAAAATGCAGTTAGCGAATGGGCCAAAACCAGCCTCTTGAGCACTGCTTTTACCTCCCCCAGGGGCACGGACATGGAAAACCCTACCTGCAGGGTTACAAGCAACCAGGGAAGAAACCTCAAAAACATCTGTCCAGTGAAAGATGACACAAAAAATACATATTGTATACATCTTAAAATAAAAATTTAAATTTGTTTATGTGACGTTCTGAAACATGAGAAATAAAGCAAAAATAAACAAGATCTGTGGAGCATGGGATATTGACTCTACAGGGACATAAGGGAAGTCTGTGGAGTGCTGGAAATTCTCTGCAGCTTAACTGGAGGGGTCGGTACAGAACTGTACTCCTCTGTCACAGTTTGGCGTATTTTATTGTATTGTAAAGGTAAAGGTAAAGGTAAAGGCCCTCCCGTTGATCGTCGATTTGCTCGAGCGGGCCCAGTAACGTCTCCATTGGAGACTTTGTTGTTACTGTGTCTGGCATATCCAATACTCTCGGTAGCTTGCCGGGCTCTCCGAGAGGGGCGGAGGAATTGAACTCAGGTCAGCCATGTTGGCCACTTGTAAGGCGAACGCCCTACCCGCTGTGCTATCGCTCCAGCCCATATCGTATCAAAAAACAAAAACAGCAACAACAAACCTAATTAGGAACACAAAAAGACTTTCATCACGGATTCTGAGTTATATTTAACACTAGTGTGTGCTCTGTGGAAACAGGATGTCATGCTAAGGCATCAGAGCCAGGCGACCCAGGCGCCCACCTCAGAGCCTTCCCAGGAAGCACCATCAGAGCACGAGCCATCATACTTTCCATAATCCAAGCATATTTACTTATTTTTATTTGGTCACTCCCAGCGATGCACAGGGGTTACTCCTGGCTCTGCACTCAGGAATTACTCCTGGCGGTGCTCAGGGGACCATACGGGATCCTGGGGATTGAACCCGGGTCGGCCGCATGCAAGGCAAACGCCCTACCTGCTGTGCTATCGTTCCAGCCCCTCAGCAATGTGCTTATAAAAAAGGTATTCAACCACAAACGTACAAGACCTCTAATGTGGATTCTTTTTTTGTTGTTTGTTTTGGGGCTACCCCTAGTGGTGCTCAGTGCTGGGGACAGAATCTGGGTAGGCTGCGTGCCTTCCTCCTGTACTATTTCTCTGGTACCAAATCTTTTTTTTCTTTGGAGGTGGTGGAGGTTTGAGGGAACTCACACCTGGCAGTGCTCAGGAGCTACTCCTGGCTCTGTGCTTAGGAGTGACCCCTGAGGGTGCTCTTGGGATCATATGGGGTGCCAGAGGTTTGAACCCTCTTGTATTGTATCTCCTAAAATGGATTCTTAATCAGCATATAATCTGAAAAAAGGTCAGCAAAATGCACCAATAATATATAAATCATTTTCTTTTCCTGATTGCTTCAAAGTGAGCCAGAGGATGGGCTTTGTAGGTTCTAAAGAGGAGAGGGACTTTCCTCAAGCTTGTCCAGCCTGGGAACTTGATAAGAGCAAGTCTTTAAGATACTATTGGGCAGCTGAACCAGGTGAAGTGCAAAGACTGGCACTTTCTCCTCAAGAATCTCCTCATGGGGCTGGAGCGATAGCATAGTGGGTAGGGCATTTGCCTTGCATGTGGTCGACCCGGGTTTGATTCCCAGCATTCCACATGGTCCCTGAGTACTGCCAGGAGTAATTTCTGAGTGCAGAGCCAGGAGGAACCCCTGTGCATTGCCAGGTGTAATTCAAAAACCAAAAACCAAAAAAAAAAAAAAAAAAAAAAGGACTCTCCTTATGATCTAGAGGGACACAACCTTTTGGAAAGACAGTCAGTTGGCCGCAGGATAATTCACTTCTCTAGGCATCAAAAACTGCTATAATAATAACTTACTTTACTACTAGTTTTATTTTTCCCTCAGATGCTCTGTGATGAAATAGTTCATGAAATATCAAAACAAAACAGACTTTACTCAGATAACAATAAAGACATAGTCCAAAAACATTCAAAAGACTAGTAAAAAAAATTGTCCATTGGATTGGACCAGAGAGACAGCCTGGGGATAAGGGGCTTGCCTTGCACATGGCTGATGGCATTCAATCCCTGGCATTCCTAAGAGTGATCCCCGAGCAGGGGCAGGTGTGGCCCCCAAAATCCAAAATAAATTGTACATTAATTCTTCCTTTGGTAAAAGAAGAGAAACATAAATCAGGTAGAAGTTTTTGTGGTGTGAAGGTTGGGTCTACTGTATTTCCTGAGTTTCTTCTCTAAAATCACTGACGGTGGAGCAGAACAAACTGTGCTAGGGTGGGGGTTTCCAGAACACAGCCTATGCTCGGCATAAGCGAGGCCCAGGGTTTGAGTCTTGGCACAGCATAGCTCCTGTACATGTCAGAAAATGTACAAGCATGGGGCTGGAGAGACAGTATAGTGGGGAGGGCATCTGCCTTGTATGGTTAAGCTGGGTCCGATCCCTGGCGTCCCACATGGTTCCAGAGCACCACCAGGAGTGATCCCTGAGTGCAGAGCCAGGAGTGAGCCCCATCACAGGCAGGTGTGACCAAAAAACCAAAAACCAACCAACAAAAAAGCACCTAAGGCAAATGTTGCCATGAGCACCTGGGATTCATTATGAGGTTAGTTTTGAATACATTTTTTGGTTGTTGCACATTCAAAACACTTTTACTGTTACCAAATTTTCAAATATGTCCATATTGAGTTACATACAAGGCCCATCGTTTAAGAAGCTAGGGTCTAAATAAACACATTTATTCACTGTCTTTGGTTGCTTTGCTTTCAGGCTATGCTAATTATTTACTATAAGTATCAGCAAAGCTTAAGGTACAGGAAAAGTTTGATAATTCCTGTTGTAGCACTGCACTGTAGCACTGTCGTCCCGTTGTTCATCAATTTGCTTGAGTGGGCACCAGTAACATTTCCATTGTGAGACTTGTTACTGTTTTTGGCATATCGAATATACCACAGGGAGCTTGCCACACTCTGCCATGTGGGCAGGATACTCTCGGCAGCTTGCCAGCTCTCCGAGAGGGAGAGGAATCGAACCTGGGTTGGCCGTGTGCAAGGCAAACTCCCTACCCGCTGTGCTATTGTTTCAGCCCAATTCCTATTGTAAACTATAATAATTTTCCTTTTACCAGTTTTCTGTTATGCTTCTACATAATACCTACTTATAGCAATTCTCTTATACTAATTCTTTTTTTCTGCAATCATCTTTACTCTGATGTAATGTGGACTTACTGTGGACTCAAAGGGGTGATAAATTCCTAAATATTCATATTTCTCAGTTTTTATGTATGCAAATATTTGAGGGGGCTAAGACTTTATTAAATGCATGCCAGAATGAGATAACAAAGACCGACTATACTGTACTACTCTTTATAATTCTATCACCGAAAATTATAAACAACCCTTTCAGGGAGTTTTAATTCTAAAATTCCACTGTGAGCTTTTTTGTTTTGTACAAACAATACTAGTTTGCAGTAATATCAATTTGCTAGGCATATGCTTTCCAGAGGGCATAATTCTGCTGCTTTCTTAAGCATATTAGTGTTGATTTAGGACCCCCTTAAAGAAAATACCAATAGGGTTTAATGCATTTTGTGGAAATTACAATTCACGCTGTGTCAAGAGCCTGGAGAAAAATGGAAGCACCTTGGCGGTTAACTTAGGGCCATGGAAAAGAACTGATACTACCTGGCAAGGAATGGCGCCGCCCCACTCCTGCTGGACAACGCTGCAGACGCCAGCCAGCGCCGACTCCAGGCATGTCTTGTCATGATCGTCCATATTACTGAGTGCCTCCTGGGTGGATGCAGGGAAAAAAGGCTTATTTTTTTTCTGTCTTAATTTGTTTTCAGAAAACAACATAGGACGTTTATAAACACTCATAAAACAAGAATGAGATACTCTGTTTTTGGAAGACCAAAAGTACAGGATCTTAAAACCAGAGAAATAGACTTCCTCATTAAAGAGCATCATTCAAGAATGTCCCTAGGTTCTATTCTGTCACCAGGTGAGTGTGAATGACCCAGCAAGTCCATGTGATGAACACGAGGCCTTAAGGGAATGAGCAAAGTGACTTTTTTAGACACATCACAAAAGTCAAGACAAAATTTACTGAGTGCAATGATCCGTTACACACCGTTCCAGGCACTTTACACATGCATTTAATCATTGTGATGCCCTGTAAGGTATGGATTCGCCTGCTTTTAAAATGAGGAAACTAAGCTAGAGAATAACTAAGCAACTTTCTAGGTTTTCTACTTGAAGGCGGCAAAGTCTACCTAGGAACCTGGTATCTGACTCTGTACTGTTGATCTTAACTATCACTCTGAACAACCTATGTGGCAATTCTCTAAGCTTTATGCTGCAGAACAACACAGATTTTTACTGTACTCACAGAAAAATGCAGAATAATTTTTCAAAGCTTTGAGTTCATTAAAAAATAAAACAAATGAAATTGTACTACTCCTACAAAATCAACCATGTTGATCCCAGATTTATACACTGCCAAAAAATTATTAAAACTATTCGGTTTAATTCCACAAGCTTTTACTGACTATGGCAATTCAACCCTCTGGAAAATATTAATGATTTAGAGCTCTGAGAAATTAAATTCTTTGGAATTATACGAACATCACCTGTGGAAGAAGCACTACTAAATGAGGTTTAAAATGATGAATTCCAGCATGTAAAAATCAAAGGCTCTTTGTTGGGGGATGAATATAATTTTGGGGGGGCCAGAGAGAGAGTTGAGTGGGCCAGGCATGTATGCTCTGCAAGATTCAATCCCTGGCACTGCGTGGTTCCATGAGTACCAAGGTAGGAGTAACCAGAGCTCTACCAGAATTGGTTCCTCCTTTCCCCCAAATAAATAAAGATAAAAAAAATTTTGAATTGTTCTAGCAAAGGTTTTTTAAAAATAGAAATAGCTATTTTTTATTTTGTCGAGTTTTATGGAAAAGGAGAAAACGATAAAGAGTTAAGGAACTGGGGCTGGAGTGATAGTACAGTGGGCAGGGTGTTTGCCTTGCATGAGGCCAACCTGGGTTCAATTCCCATCATCCCATATGGTCCCCCAAGTACTGCCAGGAGTAATTCCTGAGTGCAGAGCCAGGAGTAACCCCTGAGCATTGCTGGGTGTGACCCAAAAAGCAAAAAAAAAAAAAAAAAAAAAAAAAAAAAAAAAGAGTTAAGGAACTTACTGAACATAAGATTGTACAATACATCATGAGATGCTCTCTTTTTCACAGAGAATTTCAGAAAACCAAGAGAAAATAAAATAACAACTTAAGGCTCTAACTCATAGCTCTACCAGAGGCATAAGGCCAACTGATTGTGAATCCTTCTCTTAAAAGCTAGATCTGATACCCACAAACTATCATCAAGTAATTTTAAGTTCTAAATATTCAGTGCAATAAGAAAACATCATTTATTCTCTATTGAGCTGAACCTGATTGTAGTTTAGTGGTAAGATGTAAACCCCAGAGGTAGGCTCAATCCTTGGCACCAAAAGATGGAGATAAAAAGCCCTTCTATGCACAGTTATTTTTGTACCTGCAGTGTGTTATAATCTCTTGTGAAGGGGACCATCAGCTCCCAGAGAGAGGAGAAAACCACCAGGGCTGTAAACTCGAGCTTGTAATTTGTGGCCATGTGCTCAAACAGCATGGTCAAGCCGTGGGCTGCGAGGTGCTTGCGCTGATACTCCTCGGAGCCCTCGATGGACACAGGCCGGGTCATGGAGAGGGAGACGTCCATCACCACCACTGTTGGCATGATGACGAGCCCGGCGGTCCTGCTCGGGAGCAGGCAGGCACTGCTGAACAGAAAAATGCTGCAGAAAAGAAAATAAGATCAAACCTTAGATGCTGGAAGGGAAAAAAAGTTTTTCCACCAGTTTAACCCAACCCGTGATGTATTCAATATGCCCAACATAGTAACAACAAGTCTCATGATGGAGACGTTACTGGGCCCGCTCAAGCAAATCGTTGAGCAACGGGAGGACAGTGACAGTGACAGTTTGACCCAAATGCAAGCAAATTCTGTACAAGCTGACGTAAATGGGTAATCTGCAGTCAGTGGCCAGGAACAAACAGCTTAATTTAAACTGTGAGGAATTCTAGATTCACTTACAAAATTATCACGAACAAGGAATTACCTTAAGTATTTCCATTAAAATAAACATTTAATTCAGGTAGCCCTTGATTTTCAGACTCAATTCTCATACAACTTACTATAATAATCATTCTTTACATCAGCTCTCTAACGCTTATTAAAGAACATTTCCTTTGCTTTTTGCTTGGTGATGCTCAGGGCTTACTTCTGCTCTGCCTACACTCAGGGGTCACTCTTGATGGGGCTCAGGGGAATACATGGGTGCTGCGAATTGAACACGGATTGGTTGCATAAAAGGCAAATGCCCTGCCCATTGTACTATCTTTCCAGCCCCAATTCATAATTCATAATTTTAAATATAAAACCACACACATATAGTAAGGGAGAACCCAAATTTCTAACAGATTAGAAATTTAATGTCTAGGAGTTTCTCTTTTAGAAATTTGTCTTCAAAATATTTAAGTGAATAGACTGCTGGTTCTGTTGTCCAACTGCAATCTAAAATTCCCTTAAAAAAATCACTTCATAAATAGAGTTTTGGGAACTCCAAAATGGTTCATGGAAAGATGTTATAAATGGGAGTTAAGGAACAAGAGGGAAAAGTGTCTATACCACATATTGGCCTGAGAGACCATTTCAAATATAACACCCCATGCATTCCATAAGGAATTTTCTTTGATAAGGGCTGGAAGGATAGTACAGTGGGTAGGGCACTTGTCTGACACGTGGTTGACCTGAATTTGATTCCCATATAGTCCCCCAAGCACGGTCAGGAGTGATTCCTGAGTCCAGAACCAGGACTAACCCCTGAACACCGCTGGCCTCAAAACAACAAAATACTTTATAAGAAAAAAAATTAAAATGTACTTTTTCTGTTGTATTGAATACAGGGTGCTAAATAGAGTTTACTCTCTTACACTGACTTGGCTTCACAAGTTCAAACACCAGTATTTACCCATACACTGACCCTGATATTTTACTTTATACCTATATTTCCAAATGTGTACTATAGATAGCTTGGGGGATCTTTCAGGAAAAAATGAGGTTAGAACTTATTAAACCTTGAGAATTTTTTTCTTTTTGCTCTTTGGAGCATACCTGACAGTGCTCAGGACTTATTCCGGACTCTGTGCTCAGGGATCACTCCCAGAGAGGTTCAGGCACCAAATGCGGGACCAGGGATTGAATCTGGGTCAGCTACATGCAGGGCAAGCGCCTAAACCCCTGAACTCATGAGAATTTTTATAACAAAGAATCCACTTTAATTTATTAACCCTCTTTCCTTGTTACCCATAATTACTACTAAGGTACTTTGGGTCAAGGATTATAGGTGCTTCTTTCCTCTTTCTAGTTAATTTCTGTTCATCAAGGGAGGGGGGGGCAGTGGGTCATAGTGGCTGGTCCTCTGGGGCTCTGCCTGGCTCCACACACAGGGAATCATGGTGCTGGGTACTCAACCAGCTGACTACATGCAAAGTAACACCCCACATGCCTTAACACCCCGTCAGTTCTAGAATTAACTTTGATTTTGGACCACACCTGGTGGTGCTCAGGGGTTACTCCTGGCTCTGCACTCAGGAATCACTCCTGGCAGTGTTCAGGGCGCCATATGGGATGCCGGGGATCAAACCCAGTTCATCTGTGTTTAAGGCAACCACCTACCCAATGTACTATCGCTCTAGCCCCTAGAATTAATTCTTTAGTCCCGTAATGAATATTTAGACCATCAGTTTGCACTGCATTTTTCCAGTAATCTGAATCATCATCCCTCTTTCTAATCTGCTGCTTCTTGGCTGCTATGCACTAGAAAGCCAGGTAATCAAACTAGTTAAAACCCTGAAAATCAAAGGGAATGAGCTGGAAGTACCCTGAGGTGTCTCCTAGGGTAGAAGTCACTAGTTCCCCTTAGCAGCTGGGTGTCATTTCATCTAATGAAGATTAGTGGTGGTGGTGAATGGGCACTGGTGGAGGGATGGGTACTCGATCATTGTATAACTGAAACCCAAGCACAAAAATTTGTAAGTCTACAACTGTACCTCAGGGTGTTTCACTAATAAAAATTTAAAAAAAAAGTGTGCTTCCTCATGTTGTCTGCCCATGTATTCAGACTCTAGCACAGTGAGCGAGCCTAGCACACAATACAGCTATCTGGCAGTGTCTAATGCACGATGCCATCACTAGACACAAGTTCTTGGGAAAAAATGCTCTAGGGGCTGGAGATGGCACGGGAAAGACGTTTGGCCTGCCTGCAGCTGACTCTGGTTCAATCCCCCACACCCTGCACCTGAGTCCCTCCAAGAGTGATCCCTGAGCACAGAGTCAGGAGTAAGCCCTGAGCACCACCGGGTGTGGTCAAAACCTCTAAATCCAACCAAACCCCTAAACCAATCTATGATAGGAAGACAATAAAGCCCTGGGCATAGGCTGGGGGTAGGTGCCAGGGGATCCCCCTCCCCCCCCGCAGGTCCCTAGAGCAGCCCTAGGTGAGCAGACAGAGCACCCCAATACCCAGGAGTGGTGGTGGCTCCAAGGCCAACCCCTGAACCCCAGGAACACCATGTCCCCGTGGCTCTTCCAGGATCCCTATGGGCCTGTTGCGGTCTTTAGGCTCTACAGTAAAGGTCCTGGAGGCGGGGCCCTTTCCCTGAAAGACCGGCCTGTGGGGTGGTGTCACTACACTGCAACTGGGCAACTGAATCCGTTTCAGGGCTGTAGGGGTGTGTGCGGGACCCGAGGCCTGGGTGCGGTGAGCACAAGCACACATGCACACCCGGAGTGCCTGGGTGCTGCCCCACCCCACGCACACACGCACGCACCGCCTGGCCCGGGACACACACACACACACACACACACACACACACACACACACACACACACCTGCCTCCGGGACATACACACACACACACACACACACACACACACACACCTGCCTCCGGACGGGCACACAGACGCACGCACCACCCGGGATTCAGGCGCGCGCGCTCGGACAAACAACACACACACCACCCGACCCGCGATGCGCGCGCGCGCACACACACACACACACAAGCTCGCGCGCGCACACACACACACACACACACAAGCTCACAAGCTCGCGCGCACACACACACACACACACAAGCTCGCGCGCGCACACACACACACACACACAAGCTCGCGCGCGCGCACACACACACACACACACACACACACAAGCTCGCGCGCGCGCACACACACACACACAGAGCACCGCCGGGCCAGGGACACACACCCACACGCGCACACACACACACACACACAAGCTCGCGCGCGCGCGCACACACACGCACTGCCCGGCCCGGGACACACACACGCGCGCGCACACACACACGCACAGACGCACGCACCCGGCTCGGGAGGGCGGGCAGGCTCCGGCGGCTGCAGCCCCCCGCCCCGCCGCGCCCCCCGCGGCCCGCCGGCCCGGCCTCCCGCACTCACCGCGCCCGCGCCGGCCGGTCCGTCCGCGTCAACTTTCCGCCGTGCGCCACGGCCGGAAGCGCCGGGGCCGGGCACGAACGGGCCGGGCGAGCTCCGCGCCGCCTGGAGGCGCTGCTGCCCGCCCGCCTCCGCCCGCAGTCTGGCCACGGGACCCCCTTCACCACCACACCCCGCCCCCCAATAGCTGCCCGGCCCGGAGCCCTCGGCCCGGGTGCTCTTCCCCACCCCCAGGCCCCTTTCTTTGCGGGGCGCACAGAGAAGGTTCTGGAAGCTCGGCCTCCCCGAGGGCGCCCGTGAGCCGCCCAGGCCGCGGTGGGCCGAGAGCTGGGGGACCCCCTCGGAGTCCCTCGTCGCCCCCTCAGTGGGCGGCGGGCAGGCGCGGTGGCCACGGTCCGAGGCTTATGGGACTGCGGGTGGCCGGAGGGCGATTTATTAAAACTGACACTAAAGGGAGAAAACTGCGGGGTCCCCGGAGCTCGGACCCGGGCGAGGCGCCTAGTCCCGTCCCAGCACCCCGTGAGGTCCCCGACCCCGCCAGGCTGAGTGCGGGGCCAGAAACAACCCCCAACTCCTAACATGGTGAGCAGGCTTGTTTTTTCAAACTCTTGGTCACATTCCATTAAAAATCAAAAGGTTTGGCCAGGATGTGTCCTAGAACCGAGCAGAAGCCCCGCAGCCCCGCATGTGTGAGGCCCTGGGGCTGATCCCCCCACTCCCTGCATCACTTGGTCCTCTGGTCGCCTTTGGGTATAGCCCTGGTGGCCCTGAGCACTTCTGGGTCCCAGCACCGTCTTCTGTGAACCTGACAACAATGTTTTTAAAAATCAGGCTGTTGAAAGAAACACCAGAAAACACCAACACAAAGACTGACTACAGGTCTTCAAGGTCTTAATTACTATTTTTTTAAGTTCTAATGAATCACTGTGAGATACAGCTACAGACTTACAAACTTTCATGATTGTGTTTCAGCCTCACAATGCTTGAATTCCCTCCACCAGTGCCCATTCTCCACCACCACCACATAGTATCCCTCCTGCATTCCCTGCAAGAAGGCAGGCACATGCCCTCTTTCTCTCTCCTTTCAAGGTCTTTTAGATGGAAATGAATAATGGCTATTATGATCATGATGATGAATATTATATCTAATACGATGTAAAATGATAATATAAAATGATTTCAAATATTATTTTCAATAAAGCCATAATGTCTTTCAAGCTACTGATGAATTTCAC